TTTCCACGACGCATGCGTGAGAATTGCGATCTGAAGTGGTGTAAGCTGGTGTAAGCAGTCGCAATTCTCGCGCATGCGTCGTGGAAATCTAAGGAAGTCTCGTCTGGCCTACAAGGAAGAAAAGAAATAGTCGAATAAACTCGTTATTTGTTTGTTTTTTCTTACGGGGTTGGTACAGCATGGGGTGAGTAATTAATGACTTAATTTTCATTTTGGGTGAACAACCCTTTAACACACACACGACTCACAGAAAAGACGCGCGTCGGTATCGAGTTCTCTTTGGGGCTTGAACAAACCATAACACACAAATTATGCCAAAATGTCCATAAGAGCAGTCTTAAACGAACGTTAGAGATTTGGGAAAAATGGGACGCGTGTCAGATCGCGTCTCTGTCAGCAACGGCTGTCCGAATTTCGCTCACTCGTTTTTACTTACCTTCTCATTCACTCTTTCAAGAACAGTATTGGCTATATGCACGCATAAATTCCGCATTTGACGCAAGGATGCTCGTCCATTTCCGGTTGTGGAGATTAAAGCGGAGGGAGAACCGAGGAAAACGGGATTATGGCAGAGTCTTCAAAATTTACTGTCCTCCCGATTTGAAACGAAACGTACATACGTTTAGATGTAATTTTATATATAAGTTATGTTTATTTAATATAATTTAAAAAGAAGCATAACACAACGAGGGGTGTCTGTTTTATCTGTTTTGTGACTAACGTTTCTTTATATAACCATGGAGTATAAAATTCAATATAAATTCTCTGTATTGCATTGGACTCTACGATCGGCGGAAGTTATCGAGCATCCTTAATCCTTCACCGGAAATACCGCCGTGCATAGAGCCCATTAGTGGACTAATGTAGGGAATAGGCCTAGTAAATGAGGGTTTAGGGGCGATTTCGGATTCAACCCATGTTCTCAAGCAGTGAAAAATAGAGAATTCTGACCGAGCAGGTAATATTTATTATGAAACAGTCTCAACTTTCTAATTTGGTCAAGAAAAGCTTGATCATATTACAGTGTCTGTGTCTCGTTTCATCAGAAGTACAACTTGATTTTCTACTATAAACCGCGTTGTGCTCATGTTTTCACTCCACCTCTACGGCCTCCAACAGTGGAAATGAACTAGAAAAGATTTCCATGTGAAAGAAGGCGGAGCCTCAGCGCACATCTACCTATTACATAATCGCCACGAACCAATAGTAGTGTGTATTATTATGTTGTATATATTAAAATGAAAAGCTCTCTTAAGCTGGCAAGCTGTTTCGAAAATCCAAACGGAGTTCATTTTGGCCTGATTTTGTTCAAAATGACGCTAAACACCTTTTTATTACCAAATGATGTCGCATCATTTCGCTTGAAGTATGTCGGGGCCTGAAGTCGCACTGATACAAAATACCGGAAACAATATTAACTGTTTGTGTTTACAATTGCTTTAGAAGCAAATGAAAGCTGAGGCTTGTGATTATGGTAAGAGACGTTACGTTTTCTAACACACTTGTGTTGGCCAATCACAATGCATTGTGTCAGCTGGCCAATCAGAACACTCTGAGCTTTCAGAAGCAGGGGCTTTTGGAGAAACTCGGAGCGTTTCAGACAGATGTTAATGTGTTTGTTATACATTAAAGCAAGTTAATTTAACGACCTTTAAAATAGCATCATATGGTCTCTTTAATATTATTAATATATAAGGATAGTAATGGTAGCACATGAAAAATGTAAAATGAACACTGTTCTCTGTGTGATTTTTGACATGCTACATTTTTATTATTTTATATTTATATTATTCTATTATAAAATAACAGTAATGTTAACTTGGTTTCTTTATTTCTTTTTAAAAGAAGAAACTACATAAAAGCTAAATAAAAAAAATAAATTCAGCTTGTGGCATGTATCTTCTCTCTCTCTCTCTCTCTTCTCTCTCTCTCTCTCTCTCTCTCTCAGACATCCTGGGCTGTGCATTGAATGCCCCCTCACCTCATACAAGACCTTTATGCCCTGCCAATGCTCACCATTAAAAGAAGACAAAGGTACCCGACGCCACCCCATAATCGTCGCATCACATTACCCCTGCACAGACAAGACGCTTCTCTGAACGCAGGGCAAATACCTCATGTTTTTAAAGGATAGTTCACTTTGAAATGAATTTTTGATGTTTAGCTTACCTCAAGGGCATCCAAGATGTAGATGTCTTTGTTTCACAGTATTTTCAATTTTGATATTTTTAGGTCAAACCGTTCTTGTCTGTCAGTCATATAATGGAGGTCTATGGTCACCACCTCAAAGAGCATGCACAGAGAAGTCCAATTAAACATCATTTAATGACTCGTAATGTAAGTAAACATTGATGGCTTAAGACACGAAACGAGCGGTTTGTGTGAGAAAACGAACAGTATTTATATCGTTTTTACCTCTTGTAACCACAGCCACGTCCAAGTGATCTGAGGGCGAGAGGTTCGGAAGTGTTACATTTCACTGTGAAGATCTAAACATATTCAGATATACATGAAATCGCAATGGAAGACGATTTCGATAAAATTAACAGACAACACTGAATTTTTTTCCGCAACCGCGCGTAAGATCACTCCCTGAGCTTGCGCACACCGAAGCGCCCGCGCCCTCAGATCATTTGGACGTGCTGTGTGGTTACAAAGGTAAAAACGATATACATACTGTTCGTTTTCTCACACAAACCGCTCGTTTCGTGTCTTAGGCCATCAACGTGTACTTACATTTACGATCATTAAATCATGTTTAATTTGGACTTCTCTGTGCATGCTCTTTGAGGTGGTGACCATAGATCTCCATTATATGACTGACAGACAAGAACGGTTTGACCTAAAAAAAAAAAATAAAATACTGGAAACAAAGACACCTACATCTTGGATGCCCTTGAGGTAAGCTAAAACATAAGAAAAATGTATTTCTAAGAGACCTATCCCTTTAAAAGCCCAAGTGAAAGCGACGTCAGTCATTGAGGAGAACAGCGAAGCTAGGAGAGATGGATGTTCCCTCAGGCTGTGCGGACCACATTACCCCGATCACAAACTCGCCTATAATGTGATTCGGCAGTTATTCTTTTTCTTGTACCCTGGGCTCCAAATTGATACGTTAGAATTGTTAATATCGATCGTTTGAGCGTTTAGTAAGTTATCTCGAAATTCATTTGTGGTCACAGGAACTGGAGTTGTGACCAGTGTGCCGTCAGATGCGCCGGATGACATCGCCGCTCTGAGGGACATTAAAAGAAGCAGGTGTTGTTTTTGTTTTATGGAATTTCATTTTCTTTTCTTGATTCCGTTCCGTTTCTGAGGGAAATTCCCATAGAGATAACTATTTCAGATAAGAGGAATGTGGTGGATGATGATATTTTTGTTGTTTTAGGCTTTGCGAGAGAAGTATGGGAATTCAAGATTTTATGGTCCTACCGTTTGAGCCGGTAAGTTTTATTTATTTTATTTTATAAGTCGGCCTGAAACGGAAATGTCAAGACTTTCCTTCTCTATTTTGAAGCGAAACAAGGATTTTGTCTGTCAGGAATTGGTTGGATCATTGGATTGTTGTGATGTTATCATGTGTAATACATTTACTGCAATATTCTCTAAGAATAAGAATTTCTCGATATTGATTTCATGGTGGCAGTGTGTGAGGGTACCACTTTACTTGAAGACTAACATGACACCTTCATAATCATGACAGGACACGTTATGAATATGAAGGACGTTTTATGCAAGTTTGTTGTCATTAAGTGTCATTCGCTCAGTTTATGACATTTTTAATGCAAATATGACATTGTTTGAGATGTCTTTGTTATGACACCTTGACATAAACCAATACATCATAACCTGTCAGAGTCTTTGTCATGACAACTTGACAGATTAATTATCAAAACTTTTTGAAATTACTTAGCTTTATGGGTCAATATTACATTAAACTGTCATGTGGTTGGTTTTGACATTGCCTGTCATGAAGCCATTATAACTCTTTAATGACAAATTCAATTAGTACCACTGTAGTTGAGGTCACGAAAAATATTCATGACACAGTTATAATGACCTCATGACAGCCAATGCCAAAACCAATCACATGACCGTTTAGCTTCATTTTATGTCAAGTTGTCATGACAAAGACATAAAGACATTGTCATAAAGACATCTTAAACAATGTCATATTTGCATTCAAAATGTCATAACTGAGCAAATGACACTTAATGACAGTTGTCATAAACATGCATAAACCTTACATCATATTCAAGACATATGTCATATCATGGTTATGAAGGTGTCATGTCAGTCTTATGCACACCCTTTCAAGTAAAGTGTTACCAAATCTTTTTTAATTGCTTTTTTTTTTGGCTTGACAAAACCAATCTAAAGTTTAAAAAATAACTTTGAAAAGCTTAAAGTTTGAAGATTATTAGTTAAAGATGTCAATAAAACATTTTAGAAAGTTGCTTGCATATTTTAACACATTGATAGCATGTTTTATCAAGTTGTTAACATGTTTTAACATTATTTTGCACATTGCTAGCATGAACCGAACGTGTTCCTCACATTGCTAATCATGGATTAAGGGATTTTTCCGAACGTTCCTAAATTCTGTGCGTCTAAAGTGGCTTATGTTCCACCAGGTACCCATCATCGAGATTCCAGGCTATGGGAACCTGTCGGCTCTTTGGTTTGTGATGAACTGAAGATCCAAAGCCAGAATGACAGAGAGAAACTGGCCGAGGCCAAAGAGAAAGTCTACCTTAAGGGGCTTTTTACGAGGGGGTGAGACCATTCGAACACCAGCATCACTCAAATTCCCCATTTTACTGGTCGAACGCAAGTAGGGGACAACTTATGAAATAATAAACCAATTTAATGCACAGCTAGCCGTGGATTATCCCGTTTATACCATGGTCATTTGTCAGCTTCGAAAAGTTAAAGCTGTTATTGATGTTTACAGCGCTCAGTTTGGTTTCACTTTATTTGGATGGTCCCTTTAACACATTCAGTTGACTATAAGTAATGTTCCACCTAACTCTCACTAGAGTATTAGTAGACTGGTAGGGTTAGGGATAGAATAAGTTGACATGTAGTTGCAATGTAGTCAGTATAGACCATTTCACAAGATGTAAACAACACTGGTCCAGAAGCACTTCCTGTTTCAGTTTTTTAACACTACATAAAAGCTGGGATAAAATACAACCAACAGAACATTTAAAAATGAATCAAAAAGTTAAACAAACATCTTTAAGATAGAAAACAGAAACAGTTAAACAGTTACAAACTGAAACAGGAAGTGTTTCTGGACCAGTGTTGTTTACATGTTGTGAAATGGTCTATAGTGTCTGTTGGAGGAGCATCACTATAAAGAGTTGGCAGACAGTCTACTAACACTATAATGAGAGGTAGTTGAAAAGTTACTTATAGTCACAGGATGTTCAAAAGGGACCATTAAAATAAAGTGTTACCCTAGATTTAACTGGAAGTCAAAATGGTTTCGTCATTCACGACTCATTAGATCCAGCTTTCTGTCCGCTTTAAATCACACAGGGATAAAGTAGTGCTTTAAAGGAGTAGTTCACTTTAAAAAAAAAAACTTTTGCTGATAATTTACTCACCCCCATGTCGTCCAAGATGTCCATGTCTTTCTTTCTTCAGTCGAAAAGAAATTAAGGTTTTTCATGAAAACATTCCAGGTAGGGTGACCACCTGCTAATAAACCCAAGGGGGGACAAGGGGTATGTTTCTGAGGGACAATGTGGGACACTGCTTGGCGCGGCGGTGCCCCCATCCCACGGGAGGACTCTGATAGTGGTTTACCCCTATCTAGAATTGTTACTATTGCCTTACTGTTTGTACATGAATATTGTTAAAAAAAAAAAAAAAAAAAAAGCACATACCTTAGCACATACATTATAATGCCCTATTCCCTAAACATCTGTAATTGCTGATATATTCTCATGAATAGGCCAACCAATGTGTATTTTTTTTTTTCTAAATAAAATGAATATTTTGAACATTCAATGAATTGACAGATGCACTTCACTTACGATTTACTTTAGCTATTTAATTTGATTTATTTTTCATTACAATTAATTCACTTTAAATAAATAAAAATATAAAATTATAGGATTAACAGGAATTATAGGATTAACAGGAATTATAGTTCCTCAACACCACAGGAACAGTTTTAAAAAAAGTCGAAAAAAAGTCTAAACTCACAACTCCAGAGGTTCACGGAATGACAAGGTGCGCTGTCATGACAACAATGAAAAAGTTGACATCAACCTAGTCAGCAGGTCACGTGGGAGTGGCAACCAGTCTTGGGGCATAGACATATGTCTATGGTCTTGGGGAAGTTCTCACTTTCTGAACTAGTTCAAAGTTTAGTTCACACATTTTAAAATGAACTAGTTCAGTTCAAAGTTTGCACAGAAATGTAAGATTGTTCCCATCTTCACCGACCTCGTTATAAAATCCGTTTAAATTATCATATGACGCCTTTGTCGACGGCGGCCGCGGTGCGACACTGGTGGCTTGTGTTGCCAGATTGGGTGTTTTTTTTCGCTACATATTAAGCCCTGTTTACGTTGAGGTTTAGCCGGGCTTTCGCCTGGAAGGCTCTATAGAAATCTGGCACCCCATTGAACGAAGTTAAACTGAGAGAACGTGCGTTCACAGACACCAGAATGAACGAGTTCACACGTTAATCAGGACAGGCAGTAAAACAATACGTTCAGTTCACCCACAATATGAACGAGTTCATGAACGTGAACGAGTTCAGGCACAACGTTTGGCAGCCTGGGTCTGGAGGATATAGACTGACCGACTTTTTTTTTTTTTTTTTTTTTTTTGAGCAAGCATTGATTATGCGTGACACGGTCTCAATTTGCGGGACGCATGAATTGGGCTTCAAACGCTGTGCGCGCACGCGCTACCCGGGACGGGTGGTCACCCTAATTCCAGGATTTTCTCCATATAATAGACTTCAATTGGAACCAAACGGTTCAAGGTCCAAAAGACACTTTCAGTGCAAACTGTTCGAAGGACTTTAAATGATTCCAGACGATGAATAAGGGTCTTATCAAGCAAAACAATCGCTCATTTAATAAAAAAATAACAAAGTTTAAGTTTTATAGGCTCAAATGCTCGCCTTGCTCTGTTCTGTGATGCGCGTTCGTGACTCTAAATCAAAATGAATAAATCTTTTCCTGAGTCAATGCGTTCTTTTCATTCGTTGAATGAAGCAAATGACACGAAAAAAACTCGATTTGTCCATTTTGATGAACGAGTTCGAATAGGAAAGTCACGAACGCGCATCACAGAACAGAGCAAGGCGAGCATTTGAGCTTATAAAACTTTAAACTTTAAATGAGCGATCGTTTCGCTTGATAAGACCCTTATTCATCGTCTGAAATTGTTTAAAGCCCTTTGAATAGTTTGCACTGAAACTGTCTTTTGGACATTGAACCTTTTGTTTCTCATTAAAGTCCATTATATGGAGAAAAATCCTGGAATGTTCATCAGAAAGAATGACAGGGACATCTTGGACCATATCAGACCATAAATTATCAGCAAAAGTGAACTACTCCTTTAAGGTTATATTTATTTGACTGAATTAACCTATCGAGATACAGTAATGTGTGTGAATTACCTGATTCTGTGCAATTTGAATTACTTCAAAAACAGTGACGTTACACCTTTGCTGAGTAATATAATTTAGCTGTTTGGTGGATGCGAAGTTAAATAAGTCACGGGGCAGCGTAAGGTTCTGTACTTCTTAATGTTTCTTAGTGTGTAAATCATGATCTTTGTGTGTGTGCTTCAATGAAAGCAGCGCATTAAAGGTGCAGTAAGCAGTTATCTTGATAAGGCCACCCCCAAATTCACAAACAAGCTATGCAACTCCGGCACCACCCCCCTCATCAATGTATACACCCCTTCCTGCTGATTGGCTGTGAAGTGCGCTTTCTGCACCTTTAATTTAGAAGTACCTGTGTATTAAACTGTTTTATTCCACACCTTTATTCAGACAGACCATATGATATACGCTTGTTTTTAATGCCCATCTGAAGGTTGCATGTTTTCTTTAGATGTCTGCTTGTGCACATCTGAACTACTTTCCTAAACTTTGTTTTGCTAGATCATGTTAGTGGAGGGTTTTAAGGGACAGAAGGTCCAGGATGTGAAGAAGCCCATTCAGAAGATGATGGTGGAGAAGGTTGGTGGACTATATGTAAAGCCTGACATATGAGATAATAGTTTTTGAAATGACACAGTTTACAGACACTGTCTAAAAAGGCTGGACAATAGGGACTGCCAGGTGTCCGGATTTGCTCCTAATATTCCTGCTTTTAATGTTAATCAAACAACAAAGGACAAAGAGCAAACCACTATTAGATCTACCTAAAACTTGTCTGTAGATGTAGATACAAATAAACTTTCATCAAAAGCCTGATGACTCATATGTGATATTCATATTTTTTTAAGAACGGCAAAGCGAATGCACACCTTATGAGGTGCATATTAAAGGGAAAAACTTAAGGTAAAGAAAGTGTAAATTTAAAATGAAGAGCTCTTTTCCAAAACGCGATAAACACCATTTTTTAAAAAAAACGAGTTTGTCGTGTCATTCTGCTGTGGACAGAACCCTTTCGCTGCTCCATCAACGTTTCATGCCAAATCGCTATATTTCCTTGTTTAAAATGTACTGCAAGATACAGTTTCTTTCCAAACCACGATAAGCGCCAGCCCTGTTTTTAGCCTAAACACGATAAATCCTCAAATTCAATGAGCGTTCCACGCAATCCAGCACGGCGGCACTCTGAACAGAGGTTTATTATGTTCATTTATTCCTCAAAATGAGTCCTAGTTTTCTAGTCAACTAGTAGTAGATCATTTAAGCCATTTGTATTATCAGTAATCACATATATTGATTTAATTAAATGGGAGAGAAACCATATGAGCGTTTTTAATTGCATATTCCGCATCTGAACGTATGCATAAAGCTTGCCACAAAGAACCGGCAAAAGAAATGATTATGCATGAAACATTTGAATTGTTTATTAATAAACTAGTGTTTTCTGTCAGTGTCAGCAACAAAGATGAAGTTGATGATGATGCTTACTCGCCATCTTCGCAGTGAACGCGCATATAGGCCTATAGAGAGAAACGCATACTTCGAATTAGCCTACATACGCAGAGAGTTGCCAATTTATTTTAGTTTTTAATTGTTTTGTTTAAAAGTAGACATTTAAAGCTTTCTGTAGCCTAGTTCTCAGGCCTGCGTCGCAGTGTTTCGGTTCATATATGAGACGCGCTCCGGTTCACCTGCGCGCCTCTGTGTCCTGATTATATTGTCTGATATTTACTTCTAATGTATTATTCCAGTCAATTTGTCGATGAAACATTTATTAAAATGAAGATACAATTTATATGAAAGAAATTTACAAGCTTTCTACAAAACAAAACTTAATAAGTGGTCAAAGTCATGTCTGACGCACTCCAAATATTTTCCGATATTGGGCAGCTTTTAAATTTTGATCCTATCTTACTCATCTCATGCGGTTCCCTTTTCATAGCCTACTCAACATATATGAAATTATAAAAATAAGTAATGTAATATTATTAAACACAAATGTGAAATGTAGCCTATGTTTATTTTGTTTTTTGTTGTTTTTTTTTTACTTATATTTAAGCGTCATGCTGCTCCGCTTTGCTCACATGTTATGTAGCCTGTGTGTGTGTGCATGTGCTGGTGGGGTGCCCATCCCTTTTTTGAATATCGTTATCATAAATTGATCATTTTTAATAATTCGTTTTTTTCATGCATATGTTGAAATTGGTACTATTTGTTTGAGGTTTGACACTTTACTAAAAATGACTTTACTAAAAATGATACAAAAAAAATGGATGGATTTATAACGTTTTGGAAAAAAATAAAATTAACTTTTAAATTATCATTAACAATATTGTTGTTTGATTTAATAATTATTGTTCAAAATGTTCAGACTGAACCAATAAAACATTTAAACAGGATAATTTGAATATTCACAAAATGTGTGGGTCTAGGTAAAAAATGTAGTTTTCCTGAAAACTATTGAAATGGATTTATAGCGTTTTGGAAAAGAGCTCTTCAATTATACCTTGACAAAGGCCACTTTTTGTCCTGAAACGTTAAAAATACCAGCATGTAAGTACAGCTGTAACTAATTACATATAGCTGACCCACCCCTTACACTTTAACCTACCCATACCACCACACCTGTCCCTAACCGTACCCTCAATAGCAGCAAAAGTGTTTTACAATACAACATGTGCACAGTAAGTACATTATACTTATTTTTCAATGCAAGTACATAGTACTTAAAGCCACTTAATATAAAGTGGGACCCATTTTTTTAACATAATTATCAATAGATTTTTAGAAAAAATCAAGTTACTTCAGTCTACCTGAAAAGTGTTTATCTCGATATATTTCCAAAATATATAATACAATTTTGGACCATGTTGATAATTTTAGGGCTGTCAAATGATTAATCGCGATTAATCGTATCCAAAATAAAAGTTTGTGTTTACATAATGTATGTGGGTGCACTGTGTATAATTATTTTATATATATATAAACACACACACATGCTTGTATATATTTAAGAAATATTTTCATGTATATACTGTATATAGATTTTGATATAATTTATATTATATATAAATATTTTTATATATAAACCATATTTTTTTCATATATACATGCACGTGTGTGTATTTATATATATATATACAAAATCGACAGCCCTATTAGAGATCTTTGCATATCAAATTTTATGCGGTAGGCTTTGTAGGGTTAATGATTATTACTGAGATGTTGGTTTGGGAATCAATTTTTTTTTTAATAAAATATGTGAATAAACTTAATCTAACTCAATTTTGTTTATTTTTCTAGGGTGAGGCACTGATATACATGGAGCCAGAGAAGCAGGTGTTATCTCGGTCTGCAGACGAGTGTGTTGTGGCGTTGTGCGATCAATGGTTAGTGCAGAAAATACTGTTCCATAAGAGAATGCTTTATCCTTGTGATCTTGTGCGATTTTAGTCCCTTTTTTTGTCGCGGTTCATTGTCATGCGGAGTCCCTGATCGATTTGACTTGTCAGACAGTGACTGGGGTCTTTATCTGGCAGGTATCTGGATTATGGCAATGAGGAATGGAAAAGGCAAGCCATGGGTGTCCTGGAGGCTCTGGAGACGTAAGTCTTGCACTTTTTGGTAGGGATGCACCGAATATTCGGCCGCTGAAAATTTTCGGCCGAAAATGGCCCAAAAGGGCATTTTCGGTTTTCGGCTGAAAGACTTTTATCACCGAAACAATACGGCCGAAATGTTGTGATGACGCAAACAGAAACCGCGACCTGCACGTGCTTGTCTGAAGCAACATGTTTGCGGTGCGGACGTATTTCAGTGAATCTGAACCCGCGAGGAGACGGAAGCCTTGTTTATCCACCTATATCTGCTCTAAACAATGCGCGCCGCCATGACAACGCGACTCCGGTTGCGAGCGGGTCAAGAGCGGTGCGCGCGCTGTCTGTGGAGACTCGCGCTGCGGAGGCAGGCGAAAGTATAAACAAGGCAGCGCGAGTCTCCACAGACAGCGCGAACCGCTCCTGACCCGCTCGCAACCGGAGTCATCGTCATGGCGGCGCGCATTGTTTAGAGCAGATATAGGTGGATGAAACAATTAAAAATTATAAATAAGACTCGCGCTGCAGAGGCAGGCGAAAGTAACCGCTCCAAACGGTCAAGGCGTTTATACTTGACGCGCTGTCCGTTATACTAGCTATTCCTTGAAACGACAGGGGACGCCTCAAGTAACTGTCCTCTAACCATCAGGAATCGGTGAGAAGAAGAAAGATAAATACATGAAAATATTTATTTTTTAGTATTCCACCACCAATACAAAAATAATCATGTAAAACCCAGTAAACCCTGAGATTATTTCTTGTGACATTAAAAAAAAACATGTATGTATAGAACTAAATTAATGCTCTCTTAAATATTTTCTACATTCACTAAAATATTTTCTACATTCACTGTTTCATTAAGTTTCATGTACATTTGTATTAAACATGGACCATTGTTCATTTAAAAAGGCTTTTTATGCTATTGTATGCTAAATTTTTAAAATGTAACTAATTTAGACATGTAAAATGGGTGCTAGTGTGATGAGAAGTTTGCGCTCGGCTTTGTTTTTGAGAGAACATTTCATTTTAAAACCTTTCTGCAGGCCAGTAGATTATTATTTAGTGTACACATGAGTGGGGTCAAGTTAAACATTTTAGTTTGAATTTTATTTTTTACTGTGCATTGTGCTAAATAAATATTTGCACAATTTGTAATTGATTTATTCTTTGAAAATGTTATATTAATTTATGCAATTTCAATGCCTTGATTTTAGTAAAGTTTGTACACAGTCATAGCCATAAATGCAATGATACTAATAATTGCCATAATTTCTTTCGGTGTTTCGGTTTTCGGTTTTCGGCCTTGGTTTCCTCTTTTTCGGTTTTCGGTTTCGGCCAAGAATTTTCATTTCGGTGCATCCCTACTTTTTGGCATTGACAAAGTTGTCATGTTGCTTTGGGGTGCCATTCTTGCTGGAGAAGCGTCATTAATGTGTGAATATTGACGTTCAGGTTCTGTGATGAAACCAGAAAGAACTTTGAAGCAACGCTGGCTTGGCTTCAGGAGCACGCCTGTTCCAGAACGTATGGGTTAGGTAAGACCTGCTAATGTCTGCGCCGTTGTAGCTTTGTTGCAAGCTTTTCGTATCGAGTTTGGTTTTTCTTTTGGAATAAATTGCTTGTAATAGTTAGGCAAACTGCACAAAGTTTTCCTTTTGAAATCCCCTCAGATGGCCACCTTTGTGTGAAGCTTATCTTAATCAAAGTCTTTTTGTAAGGACAAGGCTCATCTATATTTCTTTTGTAATAATCCCTTGCCCCCAAACCACTCAGCGATACCATCAGCAATTTTCCTGCTGTTCCTCAGAGAGAACCTTTGATTTTCTAGTTCTTTCATGTGTTTGTTTCCCATAGGAACCCGGTTGCCATGGGATGAACAATGGCTCATTGAGTCCCTGTCGGACTCCACCATCTATATGGCCTACTACACCGTGGCCCATCTCCTCCAGGGAGGGGTTCTCAACGGACAAGGACCCTCCCCACTGGGAATCAGGTATTTGCTCTTCCAGAAATGGTTTAAGAGTTTAAAAAAAGATGCAAAAAAGACCATTCCATGCAACAGATTTACATAATGAACATCACTTAAAGGCTTAGTTTACCCCAAAATGAAAATGATGTCATTAATGACTCCCCCTCAATGGTCCCAAGCCCATCAGACCTCCGTTCATCTTCAGAACACAGTTTAAGACATTTTAGATTTAGTCCGAGAGCTTTCTGTCCCTCCATTGTAAATGTATGTACGGTATACTGTCCTTGTCCAGAAAGGTAATAAAGACATCATCAAAGTAGTCCATGTGACATCAGTGGGTTAGTTACAATGTTTTGAAGCATCGAAAACACATTTTCGTCCAAAAATAAGGAAAATTACGACTTTATTCAGCATTGTATTGTCTTCCGGTTCTGTTATGGATCCGCGTTCAGTGCCGCGGCTGACGTGTGTCTGGTGCGGCTGAGCTTCGGTTACAGTCTGAGGGGCTGTACAAAACAGTCTTCACAAACATGTCTAATGCTACGTTCACACCGGACGCGAATCGCGCGTCAAATTCGCGCCTGACGCGTCTAGTTTGACGCTTGACCACTTTGTGTTAATTCGCGTGTCAAGAGCGAAACTGGCGTGCGTAAAAACAAAAGTTTGAAGCGAAATTTACGCGCGTCAGAATCGAAATCCGTTGGCGGCCATTGTTTTTATGTCGACCAAGCATTCATCGAGAGAGTTACCGCTCTGTATTTACTCTGGAGAGCAGAACAGCGGCGTCGGGATCATCGTCGCCGTATACTTGTGTCCATCGGACCCTTAAGAGCCGAACCGTTTGGCGAGTTTCACCATTTGCTCGCTCCAGGAGCTGCGCTGGATGACGGCCGCTGTCAGCGGTACTTCCGCCTGTCCCGCGCCCAGTTTGATGACATGTTGTCCCGCATCGGAGCGAGGATAACCCTCGCCCTCATCCATCTAATCTAGCTGTCATTTATTTTTTGTTTTGATGATAAATAGAGCCAGCCTTCAAAAGTTATTAACCTGTCCTGTGATTTTTTTTTTTTTTTTTTTTCTCTCTCTCACGTCTAGACACGGATTTATGCACATATGTTGATTGTCTTTACAACATAATACTATTTCATATAATCTAGATATGGAATGAATAACATTCAATACAAAATGAACATGTCTCGTATAGAAATAATGTTTTAAGTGATAAAACATTTGCTTTGTTGTGCATAATCCCACCATGCATTTAGTCATATTAACAAAATAATTTATTGAAGCATCCAGACACTTCACCACGTGAGCAAGCAGCTAGGCTCCTGATTGGTTAACGCGGCGCGAATTCACGCCAAAGTTCAGATTTTTCAACTCGGGCGGCAGACGCGAATTCGCGTCAAACGCGTGAATGCACAAATGGCACTTACTGAATCATTCGCGCGCAACGCGCTTAACGCGCCAGACGCTCAATTCGCGCCATTCGCGCGAACTTGACGCGCGAATGAGGCGTATTCGCGTCTTTCGCGCCTCGCTCCACGCCTCATTCGCGCCGCAGGAATTTTTCACGCGCGTAAAGCGTCTTTGCATTGACTTAACATAGAAATCATTCGCGCCTGACGCGCTATTCGCGTCCGGTGTGAACGTAGCATAAGGATTTCCACACAGAGGAAGACTTGCATTTTTTTGCCCAGCCATATTTATTTGAACCCGAATACACGGACGAACCAGACAAATGTCAGCAGCGGCACTGAACGCGGATCCACAACAGAACCGGAAGACAATACAAAGCTGAATAAAGTCTAACATTATTTTGTTATTTTTTTTACCAAAATGTATTTTCGAATACATTTAGAACATTTAGCGGCTATGAAAGTTATGACACAATTCTAAAGCTAAATCTACTAGCCTAATATAAATTAAATCTAATAATTAAAATGTAAAATAACACTGCATACAATCCTCACTGTACAAATTAAACATATTAGTTCTGCAGGGATATTAGGCTGCTGTCACTAAAGGTGTGTTCACACACTCGTAATTCGGTTTGCTTGGTTCACAAACAAAAAAATGTTGTCCTGGTCCGCTTAGTGTTCACATGGGCATTTTAACACCGAACCTAAAGGCATAAGGATACAACTGACCATTTAAAACATTGCAGCGTGAACCACATGACTTTCGTGGGTTTTCCCCTGCACTTAAGATAATGAAGATCAGTATTAAGTTATTAGTTATCGAACAGGACAAATCCTATTTGGTTTTTGTCGAGCCCTGAACCCGGGTGATGCCAACTTTCCTAAGGCTGGACTATAAAAATACACCGTCACCACAGTGCTCTCTGAAGTAAAACAATGAATTAAGCAGTGATGTAATGTTAAACATGATATTAAATTGAGTACATTTTCCAATTAAAAGGAAAACTTTACTTAAATTTGTATTATTTAATTATATTAGCACAAAACAGGCTCATTGTGAATCAAATTGAGAACAAAAATGACATGGAAAATGTCCTGACACACGCTCATTGTTACTCGAGTAAAAATAGTAATGATACATGTCTTCCCCCAGACCCGAGCAGATGACGAGAGAGGTGTGGGATTACATCTTCTTCAAAACAACACCTTTCCCGAAGACGGACATCCCGAAGGAGCACCTGCTGAAGCTCAGGAGGGAGTTTGAGTTCTGGTACCCTGTAGACGTGAGAGTTTCAGGGAAGGACCTGGTGCCAAACCACCTCTCCTATTACCTCTACAATCATGTGGCCATGTGGCCCAAAGACAGGTACAATGACCCGATAAACCATTCTGTACCGTATGTAGAGGAAAAAGTGAAGTATATTTTTCTTGTGTATCTCGACTTTCCTTATGTTTTGCAGTGCAAACTGTTCCATTTTTCACATTAAAGAGACATGGGAGAAAGTAATATGTGTGTGTGTGGATGGATGGATAGATGACTTGAAAATTTAGTATTATAATTTTTTTTTAATAGTGGAAAATGGCCACAAGCAGTGCGTGCCAACGGTCATCTTTTGCTAAACTCTGAAAAGGTGAGTTTTTCTGTTTTCTTGTCAGGAATCATTTGTGGCTTCATGACATGCGCTGACTTGCTCTATCTTTAGCTTTCATGGAATGGGATTGGTTTCAGTATAATTGTGAGGGCCAAATATCTGGAAATTTCGTTACAAACATAGTCTAATCTCTCTATATATATATATATTAGTGCTGTCAAACGATTAAAATATTTAATCGCGATTAATCGCATTAATGTCATAGTTAACTCGCGATTAATCGCACATTTTTATCTATTCTAAATGTCTTTTGATTTCTTTTTGTTACATTATTTTTTCTCATTTTAATACTCTTATCAACATTGGAAAGTGGATTGGCTTGTTTAGTGCAAATGTTTTTTTTATTATTATTATTGAAAATAACATTGGAATAGTGTTCAATTTCACACTAACATATACAAATAATCTCTCACACAATGTAACACTGTCTATCAATAAAAGGGTGAAAGAAATACTGACGAGGTCCTGATATTGGCGAGGGGGCAGAGAATTCGCATCATCTGTGTGTGTGTGTGTGTGTGTTTGCTTGGCCATCATCAAGTGGTGTTTCTGACTGGACGTGCTGCAATGATGATCGCTCAGTTCACAACGACAAAACACAGATCACTTGGTCTTGTCAATGGGACAATTTGGCAACTTTTTAAAAGTAAATTTTCCATTCAGAATCTTCTAAGGGCATCCATTTCGGCGTCTCGCGCTCGTCATCCACTCAAAACGTTACCTCGTAAGCCGAAACGAGTGTGTGCGGAACAAAACGTCCCCGCGCTGCGATCTGAAACCCATTCATTTCCAATGGCTTGTGCTGCGCGAGGACGTTTTGTTGCTTCTTCGACCAAAGCACAAGCGGATCTAGACCGTAAACAAAACAACAGGCACGCCGCAAACACACGTTTGGGCTTGCGAGCTGGCTTTAAGTGGATGACGAGCGCGCGACGCTGAAATGGATCAGGACGCATGCCGTCCTGTTGCAAAAGCATGTGAAAAAACTACAAAGTTTGCTAGGACAAAAAGACCGTTAATCGCGAGATAAAAAAAATTAACGCCGTTAAAATGGGTTTGTGTTAACGCCGTTAATAACGCGTTAAACTGACAGCCCTAATATATATATATGAAGAGTTCAGATGCAAAAGCCTCTAAATGCCATTTGAAATTTTCTTCTAGAATGATCATTTTTATCAAACTTGTATATTTAAGTTCAGTGATTTCACTTAAATGGCAATGATAATTACCTATTAATTGTTATTTAAGTGAAATTACTGAATTTAAATATACAAGTTTGATAAAAATCATCATTAAAGAAGAAAATTTCAAATGGCATTTAGAGGCTTTTGCATCTGAACTCTTCATATATATATATATATATATATATATATATATATGAAGAGTTCAGATGCAAAAAATATATATATATATATATATATATATATTTATTAGTGCTGTCAAATGATTACAATTTTTAATCGCGATTAATTGCTTGAAAGGGGCCATGAACTGGCTTTTAAAAAAAATTGTATTGTTGTCTGAGGTCAGCTTATGATGTTTGCTTGGTTTTTGCATTCAAAAACATCAAAATGAATAAGTAATAGGCTATTTTCTACCCTAGTTTTGAGTCTCGCTCAGAAACGCTCGGTTTTTATGGGCGTCTCGCACTGAAGACTTTTTAAGTAAACGCCCACTGCTGTGAGTGGAGAACAGTTTTGCATATTATAATGAGTTTCGTCCTGTTGCAAAAGCATTGCGTTAAAATGTGTTTGTGTCAACGGCATTAATAATGCGTTTAACTGACAGCACTAATATATATATATATTTGTCTTATATATATATATTAGGGATGCACCGATATGAAATTTTTGGCCGATACCGATAACCTATAATTCTTTATATTTGAAAGCCGATAACCGATATATCGGCCGATAAACTTAAATCCAAATTTTTTTTCTAATTCTGAGAGCCTGATTACAAATACAAAAGTCTCTCAATGAAATCCATGTCCCAAGCGCACAATTATAATGATGTTCTCATTATAAGGTTGTATAGCCGATATGACAGATTTGCGCTGCACATGTTGTACCGAACCGTATTTTCATTTTTTGAAGAGATTTCAATCATATTTCAAGAAATACAAAAACATAAACAGTGCTACACAAGTGTCTCAGCTGAAGGGAATAATACATTATTTATCGGCTTTAATATATCGGCCACATTTTCTTACCAGGCCGATAACGATAACATTAAAAATTAACATATATCGGCCGATACCGATATGCTGGCCGATATATCGTGCATCCCTAATATATATATATATATATATATTCAGTTAAAATTTCATATATTATATATTTCTTACTTTCAAAATCTTATTATTGTTTGTGTTTTACTTTTGTCAGCTTTATTTCATTTAACGAAAAAGAATGTGAATAGTTTTAGTGAACAATAACAAGACTGCTTGAGAAGTTCCTGTGTGTTTGTTCTCTTTAGCGATCTAATTAGCTGTGTTTATATCCACCAGATGTCCAAATCCACTGGCAACTTTCTCACTTTGAGGCAAGCCATTGGCAAATTTTCAGCAGATGGTGAGTCCTTCATAAATAGCGGCTCACTGGAATCCCAAACACTTTACATGCGGTCAGACTCTTTAGTGCCAGAATCAAGAATAGATTCAATCCTTATAGATGTACGGGTCTGCATATGTCGCCTTCAATGCTCTTTTAAGTGACTTATATTGGAGATATAAGATTGTGAATGCCATAAAGCTCAATTAAATCCATCCCAATCTGTTTCTGTCTCCATCTGTGTGTCTTAGGTATGCGTTTGGCTCTGGCTGATGCAGGGGACACGGTGGAGGATGCCAACTTTGTTGAGGCCATGGCAGATGCGGGGATTTTGCGCCTCTTTACGTGGGTGGAATGGGTGAAAGAGATGATCGCCAATCAGGACAACCTGAGGACCGGCCCAGCGGACACGTTTAATGACAGAGTGTTTATTAGGTAACACTGGTGTTTTAAGGTCTATTCACACTATGACAAAACAAAAAAGACATTCACTATATTAGTACAATGAGTGAATGTTATGTACCAGGGTGCAATTTGGCATAATAACAATGATCTGTTGAAGTAATAGATGAGTAAAGATAATAAAATGGTGATGGTTACAAAAATCGATTAAGCAAAGAATCCTGAACATTTTTATCAGGGTTTCTTCAAAAATATGAACTATTATATAATATAGTACATGATTATAAAATCTTCTTGTGCAGCAAATAATCATATTAGAATGATTTCTTGAATTTGATCACAGGAAATACATTACATTTTGAAAGATATTCAGATATTTTAAATTGTAATATTTCACAGTATTACAGTTTTTACTCTTATTGATTAAATAAATGCAGCCTTGGTGAGTATAGGAAACTTCTTTCAACGATGTTATAAAGTATTGTACTTTTGACATTTATTCAATAATTCATTCACTCATTCATTTAGTGTTTTTGACAGCCGTAGAGGCTGAATTTAAATCTGGAATGTGTTTGATAAAATTGAATCCTACATGATGTGTGTGTCTGTCTACAGTGAAATGAATTCCGGCATCATTAAAACAGATCAGCACTATGAGCGAATGATGTACAAGGAGGCGTTGAAGAGCGGCTTTTTTGAGTTCCAGGTAACGGATACTAAATCACATCAACATCCTGTCAATGTGGGGTGGAGCAAATACATCAGCAGTAATAATATTAATAAAAAAAGAACAATAAAACATTGAGACATGTACTATTTGATATTTGTCAGGGACCCTTCAGTAACATGAGACTGTATATAATAAACATGTTCTTGATACTTTGAAGGCTGCTAAGGATAAGTACAGGGAGCTGGCCATCGAGGGCATGCACAGGGATCTTGTGTTCCAGTTCATCGAGAACCAAACGCTCCTGCTGGCTCCCATCTGCCCCCACCTGTGTGAACACACCTGGTCTCTGCTGGGAAAGGTGAGACCCCCCTTAAACCATGATCACATCAACAATACAGTCAGAACAATAATAACGTGGAATAGTTTCTGTCCTAATGTTCATTCATGTGTCTTCAGTGTCACATGATGCTTCAGAAATCATTCTGATATGCTGATTCGGTGCTTAAGAAACATTTCTCGCTATTATCAATGTTAAAAAACAAATCATATATTTGATTATTCTGGATTCTTTAAAGAAATAGGAAATCCAAAAGAACAGAATTATTTTAAATCGTATTTTCTGTCATTAAATTGAAATTCAGTTTTGCCAACAGGAATAATTTGCATTTATTTCAATAAATGAAATGATAAATGATGATTTTAATAGAAAACAGTCCTTTTTAATTTGCAAAATTGCACTACCATAATGTTTTGCTGTTTTTTTTTTTAAATCAAATAGCCTTAGTGATTCTTCTTTCAAAAATATTTAAAACATCTTGTGACATCACTGTGAATTGACATTTATTTAATTTTAGAAAGAAAAATATTAATTAACTAGTTTTGTTCACATTAATTTATAGATAATAGGTTGATTTTTTTTTTTAATTGAAGACTTTCCCAAAATAAATGTTTGCTTGTTTATTTATTTATTTTATATTTGGTAAAAGAATAATTTGGACTAAAATTGCAGCTTTGGTATATGCACTCTGGCATAATTTTTACTTTAATTTGTCTATTTAATTTTGCATTTTAAATTGTATTTAACATATATAGGAGATTGTATCTCTACAAACAACTGATAATCACATACTGACTTTACATTTGTCTGGTTTAAATGAAAGTTTGTGCAATTCCAGTTGAAGCAGGAACACAATGCATCTTTAACTCTCACTTTTTCTCTCCTTATAGAGCAGTTCTGTAATGAAGGCTCGCTGGCCTACAGGCGGTCCAGTGGACGAGATCTTGATTCGATCCTCACAGTATCTGATGGACACTGCTCATGACCTCCGCCTTCGTCTGAAAGCTTACACCCAGCCAGCCAAGGGCAAGGTATGGACTTCACCACTTCATTGATCACCACAATATATTTGTATATGTTTTTGTGTTGGTATATTATGTTTTGTCTAATTTTGTCAAAAACATTTAACAAGAAGTCAAGTGTCGTGTTCTGTATCATTAAGATCTAAAGGTAATACTTACCCCTATAATATTCATCCCTAATTGACATGTAACATATCAGCTTGTTGATAATGAGGGAACCAGACTTGAAATTAATCTGTGTTTTGGCAAAGCGTTGCAGAGTGAAACATGGGTTTTATTAGGGATGTAACACACCAATCAGAGAACTATCACCAATGAAATCCAACTTTTGTTGCCTCACGGAACTGTTGTTTGTAGGCCAAAAACTTGTGTTTGATCACACCTCGAAGACAACAGCCAACGGCCCTTAACTATCAGGAATATTCTGCGTGTGCTTGAGAGGAAATAACTCTCCAAACCAGTAGGTGGCAGTAGTCTGTTTTTGTACTGCGGATATATAAACTGAGAATAAAGCAGTGATTTTCTACCATATTGAATATGAATCACACTGTTCAGTTTGTCTTCACTTTAGTCTTTCCAGGCGCCCATGTTGTTACTGAAATATTTGAATGCTCAGATATGTAGAATTAGAAGAGCCTTTGTGGCCTCTATCTGTGTGTGCCATCTTGACTTTTGTCTTTTTTATTTTACTTACATTTACATTTAATCATTTAGCAGACGCTTTTACCCAAAGCGACTTACAAACGAGGAGAAAAATGGAAGCAATCAGACCAACAAGAGGGCAATAGTATACAAGTGCTGTAACAAGGCTCAGTAAGTCTAGCACAGTACACATAGCAAGTTTTTTTTCTCTTAGAAACCCCCCCCCCCCTCCCCCAAATATAAGAGAAATGTCTGTGAGTGATTTCGCGCCTCTTTGGGATGACACCATGAAGCGTCGTTCACTTGCAGAACGCAAGCTTCTGGAGTCTGAACTTGCGAGTTTAGGTTTTTGGTGCAGAGCCAGTGGTTGTTCTGTTGGCAAACATTGGTGCCTTGAATGTGATGCAAGCGGTTATTGGCGGGCAGTTCAAACTGATGAAGATAGGTGTGATTGAAGACCACCCTCGCTGCTGCATTCTGGATCAGTTGACAGTACGTGTCAAAAGGCCGCTAAGAGAGCATTACAATAGTCCAGCCTGGAGAGAACAAGAGCTTTGATAAGGAGTTGTGTGGTCTGCTCTGATAGGAATGGTCTAATCTTCTTAATGTTGTATAAAGCAAATCTGCAAGACTGGGCCGTTGTAGTAATAAGATCTGTGAAGATTAACTGATCACTACAACTCCAAGATTCCTGGCTGTCCTGGAAGGAGTTATGGTTGACGAACCTGGCTGTATAGAAAAGTTATGATGGAGTGTTGTGATTGGCTGAGACCACAAGCAGTTCTGATTGTCCAACATCCAGCAAGAAATGTATAGCCGCGTTTCCACCGCAATTACCAGGAACTATTTGTCCCAGGAACTTTTTTTTCCCCAGACCGCTTGCTTACTACGTTTACACCGCGAACTAAAGTACCGGTCCGGGGCGGGAAGATTAGTAGTGACGTTGAACTGCTTGCGACTGCTCTTCCAAGCCTGCGCGTTTGTTTTGAGTTTTGTATGGAGGAGATTCAAGCTTTGCTGCTTTTGTGGTGTGCGATTGGTTTACTAACGAGGTAATTAACAAAACGGCAGAAAAGAGACGAGCACCCAAAGCGTATTCAGAAAGCTCGTAATGCTAGATGTAGTAGAAAAGTAGACGTTTGTTATTAGCGGACATTGAACGTGAGATGGATGAGACGAACGCGCGCAATCGGGCAGAAAAATAGCCCACAAGTTCAGCACACAAGTCCCACCCCGAAAGTTCCTGAACTCTGAAAAAGTACCATCTCGCCAGCAGGGACTTTCTGGGGGGGGACATTTTTTACCCAGAACTTCATTTAGACCCTGGTTCCTGCGGTGTAAACACACAGAGTACCACCACCCCAAACTTCCTAGTTCCTGGGGAAAGTTCCTGCGGTGGAAACGCGGCTTATGTCACACAGACTGCAATGCAAACAGGTACCATTGGATCATCTGCTTGGAATGAGAAGTAGAGTTGAGTGTTATCAGCATAGCAGTGATAGGAAAAACCATGTTTCTGAATGATAGATCCTAGTGATGACATGTAGATGAAGAAGAGAAGTGGGCCAAGCACTGAGCCCTGAGGCACCCCTGTAGCAAGAACTTGTGATTTAGAGACCTTACCCCTCCAAGACAATCTGAAGGACCTACCTGAGAGGTAAGATTTGAACCACTGGAGTGCAGTTCTTGAGACACCCATCTGCATGATGAGGGTTGACAGGAGGATCTGGTTGTTGACTGTGTCAAAAGAAGTAGACCGAATCGGTAGGATGAGTACTGAGGATTTGGAAGATGCTCTTGCCAGTATTAGAGCTTCAATAACCAAGAGTCTCAGTTGAGTGGCAGCTTTTGAAACCTGATTGGTTGTTGTCCAAGAGGTTGTTCTGTACAAGATGGAGAGTTGGTTAAATGCATCTCGCTCAAGTGTCTTTGCAATAAGTGGAAGAAAGGATATCGGTCTAGTTTTCTAAAAGTGCTGGATTTAGAGTGGGTTTCTTAAGCATTGGGGTTACCCGAGCTTGCTTAAATGCTGTGGAAAGGTACCAGTGTGAAGAGAAGCACTAACCAATTAACTTCTCTCTGATTGGCTCGTTATGCCGAACAGCCAATCAGTGATCTCTAACCAACAGCTCTGACCCCAAATCAACATGATGTGATTCTGTCCAATTTGTGGCAACGGTCTGGGCAGACAGACACTCAACAACAACCCAACAATGACCCACCATCACTTTGTGTTACAGCTTTTAGGGTCCTTCTGAACACCCCCTACTGGATAAAATTGATTAAATTTGCCTATTTTTATTGATCTGGTTATTTTAAAATCATATTTCTGCTGTTATGACTCTTTTAATAGTGCTTAAACAGCAAATCTACCATTGCCGTGCTTGCTTTTGTAATTGCTGCTTGCAGCTATATTTATTGTAATTATGATAATAATAGACAATTTGAACAGCTCTAACTTTTTATCGTTATGGTGAAAACTCGCCAAACTTTGCACTCATGAAGGGTGAGAGTGGCTGTTGATTTAATGGACTGAATGTGTTTCATAGCAACTAGTGGTATATTCAAAACCTCATCCCTGCTACACCACATAAAAATGTTCAGAAATGTCTTTTAGTTATGAAGATTTTTGGGGAAACTAAAAGTGGCCAACCCTAGCAACCGCCTAGCAACCACCCAGAACACCTTAGCAACTGCCTAGCAACCACCCAGAACACCCTAGCAACTGCCTAGCAACACCCTAGTAACCACCCAGAACCCCCTAGCAACCACGCAGAACACCTTAGCAACTGCCTAAAACTGTTTTAGTTTCTTTTAGTGTTTTATGTTAGCTAGGAATAGTAGCATCCATATTAAATCCTTGTAACATTAAGCCGTTAGACAGAGATCCTGCACCGAAACAGAATTGACCTCAAGAATGAGTCGTCGACAGCTGTCATGTAGAGTGAGTTCAGCGCCGTCCCAGACCTCCTCTGACAGAAGAGTAATGCATTATCCCTCGCTTTTATCATGGGACGGTTTCCCTACAGTCTGTTTCTACCTATGCCGGTCCTTACGTAAGCGTTATGAGTCAAGGCTCTCAGGAAAGAGGCTTTTCTCAGTCCTGTTGTTGAGATCATGTGGTAATGGATGTCGCTTTGGATAAGGAGTTGTTGTGCTGATGTTTTTTAGACTACTATGTGAAGGAAACTAGACTGTGAGATGTAATGGGGGGAAAAAAAACATCCCTAGATTTACTCCAGTCAATATTCTTTATGTGTGTTTCGGGTCACACTTTAGATTAGGGTCCAGTTCTCACTTTACTAACTATTATTTATGACTTTTGCCTTCATAAACTCATATTTACTGCTTATTAATAGTTAGTAAGGTTAATATGTGCTTTATGCAGTAAGTACTAATAAACAGGCAATATTCTAGTAATATGCAAGCTAATAAGCAACTAGTTAAAAGTGAGAATTGGTACCTAAACTAAAATGTTAGCATATATATATTATTGATGTTGTTATTACTATATCACAAGGTCTGTGTTCAGAATACTTGAAGTCCCTGTAAAGTCAAAATTAAGTATGTGTTCTGAGTCTGTCATACCACAGAAAAATGTGTTCTTAGCCACCCAGCCAAATTTGAATGATAAAAAAGCCGGCAAGTACATAAAATAAGCTATCAAAATCTTGAAAAAATCAGCAGTTATCTCTAGCTGTGTCTGAAACCGCTCACTCGTTCACTCATTCACTAATCCCTATATAGTGTATGGCATTTGAGTGCACTATATCTGCAAGGAGTGAACGAGATGAAGTGAGTGAATTCGGACGCTGACGTTTAAACTGTACGTCGGAGAGTTGGAGCTGTCGCAGTAAAGGCTTCGTCACGCGTACTGATAAAACTCCTTTTATCTTACATTACCTACTTTATAAAATAATATTAACAACAATAACAATCATAATGACTTTATTTTGTAATTATATACCTCCATGCCAGCTTTGTAGTTTCATCAACTGAAATTGTAACTCTCACGTTCACAGATGACGTGTCGTCGAGCGCCCTCCGGCGACCGTTATTATATTCAAATGAATACGCTTCTTAACGACGATTAACGGATATTTTTCAAATCCTCCACTGGATGTAATGTAATCTCTGGTTTAAACTTGCTCGCGCCGCACTTTCATGAGCGCTCAGTTCTCTCCGCATTGGATTGTGGGAAATAGGGCTTCAGCAAGTGTACATCGAATGTACACTCGAATTCAGAGAGGATTGTGGGTAAAAGTAGGGAATGATGTCGTTCACTCAGAATTCGGACACCACTACAAAATGGCCGACACCCGATATAGTGCACTATATAGTGGATAGGGAGCGATTTCAGACACAGCTTCTGTTCTCAAACACTGGGGGCGTGTGCGCTGAAACCACGCCCACTCGCGGGAAAGCTGTTGACGGTGATATTAGGTGAAACTGCTCTCGGAACGGGAGGATGAACGCTGAGGCGGAAGATAGACGTTTCGGCCCCGTTCACCAGCAGCATCGGATTATCAGTAAATGCCAGTTGTCTCTGAGGAAAGTTTATAAAACGATCCTGTGTAAAATGATCACTACAGAGGCGGGTGTTGCTGTCGGTGATCCTCAGCTCTGCTCTTCATCAAGGTTGGCTCTACACAAAATGAATCCAACTCTTCTTGATGTGATCGCCTTTAGGAAATTTAAATAAAGACACCGCTCTGTTTTGTACATGATCGCATCCAGGTAGTAACCTATGTATTTCCTTGTCAAAGGCATAACAAGCTAGTAAACTGTAGACTGTAACGTTAGTAACTAATAGTACTGACAGTAACGCGCGATTGAGCGGCGCATGCAAATGTGCTCTATTGTTAGGGTAGAGATCATCCCCTGTCTATGGATCAGCCAAAGTGTGTCATCAAGTTGGGGTGTCCACGAGCTCTTGGGCTCCAGTGCGTCATCGAGCCCTGTTTTAGCCCCGCCCAAAAAATCCGTAAAATAGCAAGGGTGAAAAACTGTTTAACGGTCTAACTCCGTATTTCAGTACTTCACAGTTCACAGTCTTTGTAATATGTTTTAGCAATACATTTGTGTTTAGAACTTTTTTTTGTTGAATTACCTTTACAGGGACTTTAATATTAATGTACTTCTTGTGTAATGGGCTTTAAACCATCTCATCTTCAGTTTAAGATTGCATGTCTTTGTCAACAGAAGGCGGACAGCAAACCACCAGCTAAGCCCACGCACTGCAACATCTATGTGGCGAAGACCTACCCACCCTGGCAGCACAGCGCCCTCTCTCTGCTGGGCAAACATTACAAGGTACAAACACCTTAATCACAGCTCAGTATATATCAGTATATCACTCATATATCACAGCGTGCAAATAGAGACAATCTTCACATATTTAATGGGGCTGGGTATTGACACAAATTTCAAATTGATTCGAATCCAATTGACTAGCTTTTGATTTAGTTCAGATTCTGATTCAATATCAGTTCGGATAAACATTCAACTAAAGGATTATTAGGAACACCTGTTCAATTTCTCATGAATGCAAGTATCTAATCATCCAATCACATGGCAGTTGCTTCAATGCATTTAGGGGTGTGGTCCTGGTCAAGTCAATCTTCTGAACTCCAAACTGAATGTCAGATTGGGAAAGAAAGGTGATTTAAGAAAGGTGAATTTGAGCGTGGCATGGTTGTTGGTGCCAGACGGGCCGGTCTGACTATTTCACAATCTGCTCAGTTACTGGCATTTTCACACACAACCATTTCTAGGGTTTACAAAGAATGGTGTGAACAGGGAAAAACATCCAGTATGCGACAGTCCTGTGGGAGAAAATGCCTTGTTGATGCTAGAGGTCAGAGGAGAATGGGCCGACTGATTCAAGCTGATAGAAGAGCAACTTTGACTGAAATAACCACTCGTTACAACCGAGGTATTCAGCAAAGCATTTGTGAAGCCAAAACACACACAACCTTGAGGCGGATGGGCTACAACACCACCGGGTACCACTCATCTCCGCTACAAATAGGAAAAAGAGGCTACAATTTGCAAGAGCTCACCAAAACTGGACAGTTGAAGACTGGAAAAATGTTGCCTGGTCTGATGAGTCTCGATTTCTGTTGAGACATTCAGATGGTAGAGTCAGAATTTGGTGTAAACAAAATGAGAACATGGATCCATCATGCCTTGTTACCACTGTGCAGGCTGGTGGTGGTGGTGTAATGGTGTGGGGGATGTTTTCTTGGCACACTTTAGGCCCCTTAGTGCCAATTGGGCATCGTTTAAATGCCACGGCCTACCTGAGCATTGTTTCTGACCATGTCCATCCCTTTATGGCCACCATGTCCCCATCCTCTGATGGCTACTTCCAGCAGGATAATGCACCATAGCACAAAGCTCGAATCATTTCAAATTGGTTTCTTGAACATGACAATGAGTTGACTGTACTAAAATGGCCCCCACAGTCACCAGATCTCAACCCAATAGAGCATCTTTGGGATGTGGTGGAAGGGGAGCTCCGTGCCCTGGATGTGCATCCCACAAATCTCCATCAACTGCAAGATGCGATCCTATCAATATGGGCCAACATTTCTAAAGAATGCTTTCAGCACCTTGTTGAATCAATGCCACGTAGAATTAAGGTGAAAGGGGGTCAAACACAGTATTAGTATGGTGTTCCTAATAATCTTTTTTGCTAAAAAAATATGGATCAATCTGTTTTTGTCTTTTTTTTAATCATAATCAAGTATTCTACAGAGCCGTGTAATAATGGTGAATATTATGTGCTGTATTATTATGCTGTATTTGGATATGCAACTATCTGATCATTTCTCCAGTTCTATTTTAATGCCAGTGTTGAATTTAGAGGGTTAAATCTTGACCTGAGCCGTGAATCTAATGGCTATTCTTTCCCATTTTCATTTCCAGAGCAACAGTGGAGCTCTACCTGACAATAAGGTCATCGCCACAGAGCTGGGTGCCATGCCGGAGCTCAAGAAGTACATGAAGAGAGTGATGCCCTTTGTAGCCATGATAAAGGTAGAAGAGAATTCTGGTACTTGAATACGGTCTTGAAAAAAACAGGGTTTTAGATTATTATTGGAATACTGTAATCCCACAATATTGTTTTCAATTCAGCCAAACACTTTACACAATTAATAATACATTATTAAAGCAATACATTATTAAGCAGTAAGGTTGAAACAAGTGAAATAAGCGATATATCAATTCTATTGTTTAATTTTCTTAATGTTAACGAACCCAATAATTGATGGATGGATGGATGGATTTACCCGACAGTATAATATTGTGTGTGTATTTTATACACACTGTATATGTATATATAATGAGTCTTAATTATGCAAACTGTTAAACCTTGTTTTGCTGCTGAACATATGCTAGTTGAATAACTTCCAGAATATTATTGAACCAAATGTGTCATAAAAAGCATTAAAATGTGTCCTGCTTCTGTGTATTTCCAGGACAGCCTAGAGAAAATGGGGCCCAGGGTTCTTGATCTAGAGCTGGAGTTTGACGAGCGCACCGTCTTACTGGAGAACATCGTTTATTTGACTAATTCTCTCGAGGTAATAGCGCACAACTACTTGTTAAGCCAACTAAATGTACAGTTTCTACAAAACCAAAAGAAAGACCCTTACTTTCAAACACTTAAATACAAAATCGATATTAACTTAATGTATGGCTTAATGAATCTCCCTGGACTTGTCTCATCAGCGCAAACAAAAAAAATTATTCAAAATGTTTTCTGCCTCTCAAACATCTTTTCATGTCTGCTGATGTAATCAAGGCCGTGTGGGCGGGGCAAATTATATTATCCAATCATCACAGTCCAGAAAGTTCCTGCTCAATAAAAACAAGCCCCACCTTATGTAATTTCCCTTTGAATATTGTCTTTTACTCTAAAAATACATAGCAAAGGTGTTTTTTTTGTTTTGTTTTTTCAATATCCAACCAAAGCGCAGTGTTAAATGCAGTGAGCACTATCATTAGTTGACTTTAGGCCTGATCTCATTGTTAGTTGTTTCTCTCTAACCCCTCTCTCCCTCTCCGTCTCCTCTATCAGTTGGATCAGATAGACGTTGTATTCGCCTCTGAAGCGGATGACAAAGTAAAGGAGGACTGTTGCCCTGGGAAACCGTTCTGTGTCTTCAGATCTGAGGTGATGATGAGAGCCACTGAGGCCCTATTCTCTCTCTCTCTCTCTCTCTCTCTCTCTCTCTCTCTCTCTCTTTTAATGGTTGATCTGGCCTGTGCTTCATGCAGCTAGAGACAGGCTAATTTTACAAGTACGCTGTGCATGGGTAATGCTTCTTACATTCAGCTCACTGTGGTGTAGTGTAGTGTACAGCGTGTTGGTTCGTCGGTGTGTGAGTGAGTTTATGAATGGGTGAATGTGAGGCAAAATGTAAAGCGCTTTGGTGGCCATTGGATCTGTGAAAGCGCTATATACTGTATAATGTATCATCCATAAATGCATCATCTTCAGCTGTGACCTCTGTTTCTCCTGTAGCCTGGAGTGTCAGTCTCACTGCTGAACCCTCAGCCAGCCAACGGCCTGTTCTCCACCAAGATCGACATCCGACAGGGAGACAGCAAAGACAGCATCATCCGCAGACTGTCACGAGTCAACAGAGCCATCAAGGGTAAAGCTTACTTAGCAAAGGTTTCATGAAACTATTCAGATGTTCAAGGCAACAAGCAACATTTAAAAATATCCAAACACTGAACCTGATTTCCCCATGTACACAACGTTCCTGGATTGACATCTCTGTTGATCCTGGAACAACATTACAATAAAGCAATCAGATTTGAGGGACAAGTCTACGTTTAAATCAAGTTACGTTTCTAAGTCCGTTTTATTCACCCCTCTGATTTTAGGGAGAAGTTATGGGTAGGGATATGGTTAGGACTAAATCTTTGAACAGGAATGTTGTGATATGTTGATCGAGGAACAAGTCTTACTTGGTAAAGTCTTCCTGATCATGTTTCCATTTATTTTAGTATTAACGCTGTTGTTAAAAATTGCAGATTTATCCAAAGTGAAGCTTATGCGTTTTGAGGACCCTCAGCTCGGACCGCGGAGAATCCCAGTTTTGGGGAAGGAAGAGGAGGGGAAACTGCCCATCTCAAACAGTTCAGTCTTCCACATCAACCTGCAAGAAAACAAAGTTCATTTGAGCGATAACGGCCTGAAAATGGACATCGGGGACACTTTAATCTACCTGGTCTAGCGACATCTGAAACCGTTATATTTGTTTCTCTCGTCTGAATCTGACATGCATCTGTAAACAATGTTGTCCACATTCACAATGAATCCCGAGGCGCTAGATGATTTGTATTTGTATAACATACATTATTGATTCATATTTGTTATCTAGCTTTTTATTAAGTAAAAGACCAAGAGGATCTGAACAATTAATTCACTTAGTCTGATAAGTCATATTTCGAGGTCCCTGCAAATGACATTTGAAGGTATTGTTGTACGTTTATAATGTTTATTTCTGTCTCTTTTCACGTCCTGAATTTTAAATTGTTTGCATACGTCAGTGGCTGAAGCCTAGTATAAGGTGTTTGAAAAGACAATAAGTTGTGAACCAACTGTCTTTTCACTTTAAAACATTAAGAAAGCAGTTTTCTCCCTGTTAAATGACATGTATTCAATGAAAACTTAATAAAATAAATATAGATGCGAATAAAATTTACATTTGTTTCCTTGAATGTCTCTGAATACAGATGTGTCCATTATTCATTAAATGTTAATGGTTTATATAGGGTGAAGTAAGTAGGCCTATTTGGTTTGTCATTGAGTTTAGAATAAGCTCTTTGTTTTTTCTATAATCCTTTATGCACTTTTTGATTTTTTGATTTTTTTTTATGTTGTGCTTCCTTTTACAAATAAAGGCTTGATCTTTCTGCCAACACAGTGGCAGTGACAGCATTGTTTTTAATTACATTTACATTTCTAGCCCCATCAAGCTCAATACCATGTAAACTCAATACACATGAACTATTACTCTTTGGGATGCCCAGGCTGGTGAAAAGTAGCAGACAGAAGGTTAGCAGGGTAAAAATCTGAAAGAAGAAAACGCTTCATTTTTAAATGTACATTTCTTTGGTCTTTTTAGATAAGTAATCTTATCTAATAGTAATCTGCACTTAAAAAACCCAATACATATTTCAGCTTTTGGCCAACTTACAATAATAAGATAGCGATTGTTGTCAATCTTGCGGATCCGCTTGATGGCAACCTGCAAAAACAACAACCAGTTTCAATAATAGTATTCAAGTACTAAGTATTAAACCATCTGTGAATTGTTTTAAATATGTTTTGATGCATGCAAGAGCAAAATGTGTGTACAATTTGGTGAGATTGACCTTTTTGCCATCAAATTTGCGTGTTCCCTGGTACACCCTGCCAAATCCTCCGGATCCAATGATCTTTATAACGGAATGACTCAAAGGACTCTGAAAAACAAACAGAAAAATATTAGTTTGCTTGATAATAATATAAAGAGGTAAATAATATTAATGTTCTCTGAAAACAAGCCTTATTTGTAGTGGAAAACAAGATAATACTGTTTGGAATAATGAGTGGCGATGTACCATTATTTGTCTTGACGCCGGAGTGATCAGGAGCAGGAGATTGTGGATCAGGATCAGGCTCCGGCTCCAGATCTGCTGGAGGAACAAAAGGCTCCACAACGTTCACTGCACTACAGTGGCAACAGCAGCAGAAAACACACTTCACAGCCTTCCAGAGCCTAGAGGAAACAACCCCTTCCTTTCTTCCTAGATCCTGAAATGAAGAAAAAACAATTCAAAACAACTATCATTTACATTTCACTGTTTAAATTATTATCTGTAATGCAACAAATCCAAAGTAGTGAAATATTTCCACTCTACCCGTCTGACTTCTGCTCAATGCCTCCATACATTTCCCAAAATCTTATTTCACGATGTTAATAGTCATTTTATTTCACAAATATCACTATATAGTTATTCTTTTTTTTTTTTTTTTTTTAAAAGAAAACATACATTTCCAGGCTTCATTTGCTCAACTCTGGCACGTGTCTCAGTTCTGGTAATAGCAAAGATCATATCTATATTTACATTAGATTATACATTGACTTTTATTAATGCATAGCAAAGTCTTATTTATATACAACTGACTCTGTAATACTCGGCTCGACAGCCCCTTTGACAATTTTGTGTGTATTTGACAATTCAAGAGCAATAGAAATAGAATTCTATTCTGGATCGTTTGCTCAAAAGCGGCTTTCAGTGCGTGTGTGTGTCAGACAGAGCAATACCATCAAGTTCATCGCTTATTGAGAACGTTTTGCTAACGTTTCCATTAAATTATGAAAATGTTATTTCAAAAAATGTAAACTGGTTAAAAATATTGTTTTTCTTTGTAAAAAGAACTCTATTTTTTATAATTTTTCATTATGGGAATGTTACTTTTGAATGTTTTGAAAATGTTAGACGAATGTCCAATTAAAATATTAATCATTTTGCTGAGCAACAGTAAATGTGACCGGACATTAACGTGAAAAAGCAAAATGTCTCTCTGTAGACTTGACTCTGCCCAGCCTTATTTCAGCCTCACCCGTTGAGCTCTTGTTCACAGGAGAAGCCTCCATGGCACCCTGAGCAGTTCGACCATTTGAAGTCTCTGTTGGCTCGACAAGAACTTTCGAGGGCACAGCAAGCCTTCCAGGCTGTGGGACCTGGACAAACAGGAGTCGCTGCAACTGTCCTGTTGGTTTGAGCTCTCTGATGATCCATCGCCACTCCTCCTGACTCCATATACGAGCCTCTGCTGCTCAGACTCAACGACTCTCTACCAGCGCTCCACATTGACCACAAATTGGGACAAAGCTGATGATGACATGATGCCCGGAGAACAATCAGTGGAAGCAAATTTCACACATCAAAAACTGTTTCTTTTATATATACAGTGGTATGAATAAGTTTTGGCACCCATGCTAAAGTTGCCTAAAAAGAGGAATAAAAAATCATCTTTTGGATATTGATCTTAATGCCTTAATTAGAAAAATGAGGAAAACTCCAACCTTTAAGGACACAAATTTTCTTTGTGAATGAATAATGTATCATAAATAAATAAATGTTTTTCCTTAAAATACAGGGTGCAAGTCTGGGCACCCCTATGTTAAATTCCCATAGAGTCAGGCAGATTTTTATTTTTAAAAGCCAATTATTTCATGGATCCAGGATAATATGCATCCTGATAAAGTTCCCTTGGCCTTTGGAATTAAAATATCCCCACATCATCACACACCTGCAGGGCCGTATTAAGAGCTCACTGGGCCCCGGGGCAATGAGTTTCTGCAGGGCCCCCCCACCACTTTAGGTCCCCAACTACATGAGCTAAATGTTATATTATTATCCGAGTCATTGTATCCATCTATGATATACTTCACAGTTAAGTTATGTTACTTTTAACACGATTTTTTTATCATATCAAAATGTATTGCAACTAAAATTTCATAATTATTGTGACCAATTTCAATATCACCAAAAAAATAATAGTAGCTTAAGAAAATAATCTCAAGCTTACTGATGACAAGAGTCACAAATTAAAATAGAACAAAGGCACAATAAATCGACTTATGAAAAACTTTAAGCACTGAATAATATTATATTATATAAAGTAAGTAATCAAATATACAATAGCCTACATGGTTTTCACTATAAATTCAACATTCATTCTTGTTAATTTTGCAAAAGTAATTCAGTCAAATACAGTAACGTTAAATTACTTTCTTTCTGATGTTTGATTAACATTATTGACACACATGGCGACAGCATCTTTATTAGCAGCGTCTGTCACATAGACATATGAACAGTATTCGAATGAAAAGTGGGTGTCGGTTAATGTGATATACAAAATAGCAAGTAAAGCTTGTCTGTGATTGGCTGCCGCGGTTGCGTTGTGTGACGTTTTCCCCGTGACGTTGCCGAGATCCTCCAGCAGCCTGTCCGACGTGCCAGTGAATACAGAAGGCCCAGTGTGTTATTAGACGATGCTAGTTAGAGTTGCGCATAAACACCCAACCTTTTATCAGTATTAATCATATGCGCGTCAGGATGATTATAGAAAATGTTGACGCTCTGAAATCCTGGCTTGCTAAACTTCTTGAACCCATGTAAGTGATGAACAGTGATATTTGAAGCAGTGGAGCTAACTTGCGCTGCTAACATGCTAACCCATTAGCTGGAATTCCTATTACTTATCCGCGCTGGAAACAGATACCGTTTCCTTTGATTTTACGTGTATGTGACAGTTCAATTATGTTCTATTCATTTATAAGCTCGTAGTGTTCAGAAATCTAACACAGCTTCTTGTTAGAAGCATGTAGCTGGAAGCTATGCTAATAGGGTTTGCTGGCTGAGAGGGGTGGTCATCAAAACAGCCTGATAGTTCTCATAGACTGGCCAAAACAGTATCAGGCACAAGTTATTTTAGTTTTAGAGCCTTGGCAGGAATGATCAGTCAGTGTGAGTTTGCTTGGTGGTTCTTGTTTTAGCTGCCAATTTGATCTCAGTGAACCCTAGCAGACCTCTTGGCTAATTGTTGTTTCACCTGCATGGATATATTTGACTGTTGGATTAAATGTAGTTTGCATTTACACAAATGAACCTTATATCTTTTACAGATGTGATGCTGACCCATCTGCACTGGCGAACTATGTTGTGGCGTTAGTAAAGAAGGATAAACCAGAGAAAGAACTCCGAGCATTGTGTGCGGATCAGTTGGACGTGTTTCTTCAGAAAGGTATGGACAAAAAGTCTTCACATCCTTGATATTCTGTGTACATAAGTATGCAGTTATTAGTGAAGTCAGGACCTTTCTTGTATTTACTGTGTCAATTCATTTTTCTTCTTTTACAGAGACTACAGGGTTTGTTGATAAACTCTTTGAATGTCTAACCACCAAAAATTATTTGGGAAATCCAGCTGCTAAAGAAGAAAGTAAAATCCCAGTGCAGAAGCTTGAGGAGAAGGAAGAGGTAAAATCACTTCTGTCATGTCCATCAACAGTCAGGCTCATTGCTTTCTTTCTTACTATTACAACAAACTACTTTTGGTTAATTCGTTCTCTGTTTCCAAAGCACAATGTTATTCACGTTTTTGTTTTCCTATCAAACACCTTAATAATCACGGCAGCTTCCAGTTCCTAGTGCAAATGCATAAATAAAGTGTTAATATTAATACAATAACATTTGTTTTCAGCCTGTTCATGTCGAAGACGATAGGGATAACAGAAGAAGAAGAAGCCCATTGAGGAATCGCCCAGACTTCAATGAATCAAGGTTGGTTTCCAAGATCCGCATCCTTATTCTATCGTTTGTGTTGACGTAATGTTCTTCATATAATCTAAAGGTTACCGGTTCTGTTTTGTGTGGGTGTTAAATATTCTCAGTTGTCTGTCTGGTTTGTCTTATTTTGCTTTTTAGTGCACATATTTTATATATACACTCACAGATGAGCCAAAACATAATGACCCCCTACCTAATATGCTTATATGGTCCTGCACGTGCTGCTAAAACCGCACCGAACCACTGAGGCATGGACTTTACTGGCTCGTTTCCACTGAGGTACACCGCCAACAGTACCCTTACTTGATAGGCTTGGTGTTTGCTCGATCGACGTCATTTTCGCACGAAGAAAGCGACATAGTAAACAACAATGGATGACAGACAGCAGATCTTGTTCTTGCTTCTCGGCATGTTTGTCACAAGAAACAAACGCTGGCATTAGGCGTTTCTCAATACCCAAGTAGGCTATCCTACGCAAAGTCCGACTCAGGAGAATGACTCCCGAGGAACAGCGCGTTCTTGAACGATCTACTACTCTGGTTATCTCTGTATGAACATTTTACGCAACAACAAAAAGAAATATGTTATAAAACACCACTCTGCTTCTTTTCGATTTCATTTCAATAGATTTTAAACATTATAAGCACACAAATGTGGTTCAGGCGACGCCTTGATTATATTCACTGCATGCATGTAACGTTATATTTATAACATAACTAAATATAAGGCACAACCCTGCCTCTTTTCGTTTAAATTTAAAAATATTAAACGTATTCCAGGCAATATGTAATGTATTGCATATATTGCATTGGTACAAATGTTGCAATAAACAACATTGCAAATGATCTTTTAATAAAATAAAAAAATCTCTTTTTGTTGAATTTGAGTTTTATCAATAATAGCAATTATAAAAGTATAAGTAAAAGGTACAAAAAGCTATATAGTAAATCTTTATAACATAAAGAAACAATTCAGTCAGTCAAATACAAATTCAGCGCTCAAAGATATGAAACTTCACTTAGCCCTCTGCCAAAACTATTGGCCAGGGAACGAATTATTGATTCACGAGACCAAAGATCACCTGTTAGACGAACTATATCTCATGTTTAAACACTAACAGAGACGTCAGAGTCAGAGGCAAACATCAGAACGACTCGCAGAGGAAAGGCTGTTCCAGGCGGGGGACACGATTGCTTGGAATGGATCTTCAAATTATCATAAATCTATAAATAAACCACAGATTTGAGCTTTAAAAAACTACATTCTTGCCTGAAAAACTCTTAAAACTACATTTCGTGACACAATAACAGTATTGTATTTCAACTGTATAACTTCTAATGCCCTTGTAGCACGCGCGAGTGACGATACTCCGTCCACCAATCACCGTTCTGCAGTGAGTCTAGCTCCACCTTTTAGTACCCTTTCATTGCGCTAGGTACCCCAACGGAAGGGTACCCAAAAAGTGGTACGGTTCGGCTTTTTGGTACCATTCACAACTTTTGACAGTGGAAATGCAAATAATTGCGTACCGAACTGTACCGTACCATACCACTCAGTGGAAACGAGCCATACAAGAGCCCTGAGGGTGATATGTGGTTTCTGGCATCAAGACGTTGCCGCAGGAGATCCTTCAAGTCTTGTAGGTTGCGAAGTTTGGAGGCCAGGGCAACATCTTTAACTCCTATTCCTCAAACCATTCCACCACAAACATTTCCACCAGGGAGCACCATTGTCTTTGTATCTGCTACAATGTGTAGAAAGAAAGGTGGAACGTGTCCACTTGGATGGCCTGATTCAGAACATTGTCCACGTGATGTAAAAGAAAACAGGACTCATCAGACCAGACACCTTCTTCCGCTGCTCCAAGGTCCAGTTCTGATGCTCGCGTGTCCATTGTAGGTGCTTTTGACGGTGGACAGCGGTTATCAGAGGCACTTTGGGGTGTTTTTCCTGTTCAACACCATAACTCGCTGCTTCACTAGCATAGAAGAAGAAATCAGCTTGCTAGTAACGACTGTTGCCCACAATTGGTCGTTCAACCACGTTGGTAAATGATGTCACAAACTCAGTTGAGTAATAACTTATTTTAATGAATCTCGAATCTGTTTGAGATCTAATTAATACTAGATGTTTTGCTATAAATTATGGACATGACATCTGAGGGTTATCTAATTTTTCTTAGTTATATATGTCCAGATTGAATCATAGGCTTGGTCTTACGCCCTTCAAAAACAGTGCTTTAAAGGGATAGTTCACTTTGAAATTAATTTTTGGTTTAGCTTACATCAAGGGCATCCAAGATGTAGGTGTCTTTGTTTCCGCAGTAGTTTCAATTTTGATATTTTTAGGTCAAACCGTTCTTGGCTGTTAGTTATAATGCAGGTCTATGGTCACCACCTCAAAGAGCATGCACAGAGAAGTCCAAATTAAACATGATTTAAGGACTTAGGATTGATGGCCTAAGACACGAAACGAGCGGTTTGTGTGAGAAAACGAACAGTATTTATATCGTTTTTACCTCTAAAGCGCCCGCGCCCAGATCATTTGGACGTGGCTGTGGTTACGGTATAAACAAAAAAAAAATCTGTTCCTTTTCTCACACAAACCGCTCGTTTCGTGTCTTAGGCCATCAATGTGTACTTCCATTTATGCGTCATTAAATCATGTTTAATTTGGACTTCTCTGTGCATGCTCTTTGAGGTGGTGACCATAGACCTCCATTATATGACTGACACAGACAAAAACGGTTTGACCTAAAAATATCAAAATTGAAAATACTGTGGAAACAAAGACACCTACATCTTGGATGCCCTCGAGGTAAGCTAAAACATACCAAAAATTCATGTCAAAGTGAACTATCCCTTTAAATCTCTTGACAAACTAAAAGACATAAATGACATCTGTATGTTGGCTAGTCTAAATGGAAGATTTGCTCCGCCTTCTGGTATTTCAGAAACCCACGAGCCTCGTCTTGCTATAACTATCCTCGATAAGTCGTTTAGATCTTTATTCCTGCCCATTTCTCTTGCATCCAACATGTTGATACAAGAACTGATTGTTTGCTTACCAGCTAATCTACCCACTACCAAACCCTAATATGTGGCCTTATTAGGAAATGATCAGCGATAATCACTTCATCTGTGACTGCTCAATGTTTTGGCTCATCAGTGTGTGTATAAAAGTATTATACTCATAGTACTACCATGTTAGGTGTCTAAAGCCCTCTTAAGCCAGACTTGCACCAATATCTGGAAGTCAGAGACTGTACATCTCACCTCAGGGTTAGAGATGACCGCAGGAGAGACGACCGTAAGCGACGGGAACTGGACCGTCACGGGAAGAGCGGAGAGTCGTACCGGGAGCGCCATGATCGACGAGGAGGAAGCTCACGGGGAAGAAGCTACAGTCGCAGCCGGAGTCGCAGCCGGAGCAGCAGCCATGGAAAGAGCCGAGAACGAGAGCACAATCAGAGGAGAGGTAATGACCGTCCCAAACAATTTCCTTCACATTACTCTCACCTATATTGTGTGCATTCCTGAGAAACAAGCAGTTTTTAGAAATGGATTTAATGGTTAATCGGTCAGTAACATAATGCACTTTTTTTTTGTCCAGAAAATAATTTTATTCAGAAATACATAAGAAATTCCTATAATGAGCCCAAGTAAAGGTGATGCAACTATCCTGTCGAGCTGCAAGATTAAAGGGTTAGTTCACCCAAAAATGAAAATTCTGTCGGTATTTACTCACCCTCATGTTGTTCCAACCCCGTAAGACCTTTGTTCATCTTCGCAACACAAATTAAGATATTTAAGATATTAAGATCGCTCCTGCATACTAGTCCATAGGCTTCTTGAGGGAATGACTCTTGCTGGCATCGAAAAGTCATTAAAGACATCGTTAAAATAGTCCAAGTGACTACAGTGGCTCAATTTGAACTTTATCAAACGACGAGAACACTTTTGTGCGCAAAAACGAACAAAAATACGACTTTATTTCAACTATTCACTTCCTTCTCCATGGGCCTGTAGTCAGTTAACGTAGTGTGATTGCGTAGAGCTACGTCACACGTACGCTCACTATTGGCCGACGCTGGTCATGTGTGTGTGATGCGTGTGACGTACAATAACAGAAGCTTACGCTATTAAACTAGTAACCTGATTCGCGCAGAGGGAGAAATAAACGAATAGTTGAAATAAAGTCGTTATTTTTGTTGTTTTTTTTGCGCACAAAAAGTGTTCTCGTCGTTTGATAAATTTAAGATTGAGCCCCTGTTGTCACTTGGACTATTTTAACGATGTCTTTAATGACTTTTCGAGGACAGCAAGTCATTCCCTCAAGAAGCCTATGGACTGTATGCAGGAGCGATCTTAATATCTTAAATATCTTAATTTGTGTTCCGAAGATGAACGAAGGTCTTACGGGGTTGGAACAACATGAGGGTGAGTAAATATTGACAGAATTTTCATTTTTGGGTGAAAAACTAACCCTTTAATCGTGAAAGATTTTGATTCAATCAACCCATGCGAGTTCATGCCAATCATTCGCCAGTGTCTAATAAAACCTTTGACAAAATCACACCGAAATGTTCAGATCTGCTTTGGTGAGCCAGAGAGAACAGTTGTCATGAAACTGCAACACAAACAGTTTTTTAAAGCATATAGTATCAATATTTTTGTTATAGTAATTCATATAATCACAAAAGTACTGGGATAAAAGTTTATAGTTCGCATATATACACTGTCTATGGTAGTGATCAAAATAGTACATTAGCTTGACCTTCAAAAAAAAAAAAACATTATTAAATGAATTTTTGGATTAACCAGTATGTGTCAAGTGACTCTGTTTAAAAGTGAAAATGTATTTTTCATTGAATCCTTCATTCAAGAGATTTGTTCAAAAAAGTCTTAATGAGTGAGTCATTGCATCATTCATTTTTAAAAAATTATTCATTCAGATTAATTAAGCATTTTTAAATAGACTGCAGAAATTCATATTTTGTCAAACTTCTAGTAAACTACATTAGTTATTTTGTTTAGTTGTCTGTTCAGAATCGTGGGAGAATCTTGCAGCTCTATTTAAATATATATTATTTGTGATTCTCAATTTATCTAGAATCATGCAGCTCTACTTGTCCTGATATCATAAAGGCTCATTAAAATAATATATATATATATATATATATGAAGAGTTCAGATGGAAAAGCCTCTAAATGCCATTTGAAATTTTCGTCTAGAATGATCATTTTTATCAAGCTTGTATATTTAAGTTTAGTAATTTCACTTAAATGGCAATGATAATTACCTATTAATTGTTATTTAAGTGAAATTACTGAACTTAAATATACAAGTTTGATAAAAATCATCATTAAAGAAGAAAATTTCAAATGGCATTTAGAGGCTTTTGCATCTGAACTCTTCATATATACAGTATATTTTTAAAGGAAACCTTAAGTACATTGGCATACTCTTTTCTTGTTATTTCATTGGAAACACAACGATTCACTAATATTTGAAGGGAACAAAGTACACCAAAACAACATGCTAGGGGAAAAAATATAAACAGAAAATGTTATCATATTTAAAAAAAAAAAGCTTCATTTGAAAAATATATTTAAAAACTTAAAACAATATAGTAAAACTCATGTATGTGCAACGTGTGAATATGAAAATATTTGTAACCTAGCAATAAGCTTGTTGGTTTTTCCCAAATAATCGTTTTTTAGAGTCATGAAATTAATTTCTAATGGAAGAATTGTCATCTCTATTTTAAAGTAGAATTTTAAAAGATTTTGTTTTTCCTTTTTTTTATTACTGTGGAGTTTCTTATTTGTCTTTGACTGCTATTCATCAAACAACAATATTGACAAGAATTCTTCCTTTGCAATCAAGTCTCAACAAATCAATCCTTTCTGATGTGTTTTATCTCAGCCGAGCACAGATCCAAGTTTGATCAGGAGCGGAAGGACGCGGAGCCTTACAACCCATCCTCTGCCCACATGGGTAACCCACACCACCAGCAGAGTCACCCGCCCCCCCTGCTCCCCCTTCCCCTTCCCCAGCACCAGTTCCCCCCCTCGGGGACCCCCGCCGTCCCCAACGCCGTCACCGTGGCAGCGCCGGCTCACCTGCCCGACAGCACCACAGAGAGCTGGTCCACTTACTTCACCAACCACAAAGACGGAAAGACCTTCAACAAGATCAGCACGCTCAAACACCGCTGCAGAGACTACGACGGTGAGTCCCAGTTCACTTCATTCAAGTTCGGTGTCAAAATGAAGACAAAAAGCTGTTGCTACTTTTCTTTAAATGCGTGTTAAACCTAACATTTTGTGAATCTTTCGCTTAAAGTGTGATTGTAAATGCCACTCTCGTCAGGTTCACTCATACTGATACTAATAGATGGCACTCGTCTTAAAAGTTCTTTATGATATACAGGATTTCTTGTCTAAAGATTTAAATGCAAAAGAAAAACTGTTTTTGTCAATTTTAAGTTTCCATATAAAATGTTTAACATTTACCATAAGAAAAGTAACTTGCTTGAGCAATTTGATATATAAATCAATATAGAAGTAATGATTTGAATAATACATTGTTTGAATTTAGCGTTTAAACTTGAATCTGCTATGAAAGATTGCTTAAAGGGTTAGTTCACCCAAAAATGAAAATTAAGTCTTTAATTACTCACCCCCATGCTGTACCCAACCCCGTAAGACCTTCGTTCATCTTCGGAACACAAATAAAGATATTTTTGATTGAATCTGAGAGCTGGATCAGTCCTACATAGACTGCCTAAGGGACTGGCTCTTGACGGCCCATAAAGTCATTAAAGAAAAGGTTTAAATATTCCATGTGCCTACAGCGGCTCAATTATAAGTTTATCAAGCGACGAGACTACTTTTTGTGCGAAAAAAACATAAATAACGACTTAATTCGACTATTCCATTACTTCCTTATGGGCGCATGCGCGAGAACTGAGACGAGGACGTTCTCATTCGCCTACTTCTTGTTACCGGCTGCTCACCGCTTAGGAGTTTTACCGCCACCTACCGTATAAAATGATGATCCATATATAAGGCGCTCCGGATTATAAGGAACACTGTCGTTTTTTGAGAAGATTAAAGGCTTTTAAGTGCGCCTTATAGTGCGGAAAATATGCAAATTAAAAAGCGTATGTACAGCGCGCATCTTCCTCTGCTTGTAAACAGAAAGTTTTGCGCTTCCAGCTATATCAGCACATCATCTTATACGGTAGGGGGCGGTAAAACTCCTAAGCGGTGAGCAGCCGGTAACAAGAAGTAGTTGAAGGAGAAGAACGTCCTCGTCTCAGTTCTCGCGCATGCACCCATAAGGAAGTAATAGAATAGTCGAATTAAGTCGTTGTTTATGTTTTTTTCGCACAAAAAGTAGTCTCGTCGCTTGATAAACTTATAATTGAGCCGCTGTAGGCACATGGAATATTTAAACCTTTTCTTTAATGACTTTGTGGGCCGTCAAGAGCCAGTCCCTTAGGCAGTCTATCTAGGACTGATACAGCTCTCAGATTCAATCAAAAATATCTTTATTTGTGTTCCGAAGATGAACGAAGGTCTTACGGGGTTGGGTACAGCATGTGGGTGAGTAATTAATGACTTAATTTTCATTTTTGGGTGAACTAACCCTTTAACTGTACTGTGTACAAAGAGAATCGCAATGCTTACAAAAAATTTCAGTAACAACTTTTGGATTTGAAATAAAATAATGAATACATGTTGTTTGTGGTGTACAGCCGTGCAAACACACCATGTGAAAGTATGTGTGAATCTGCACTTAGTGTGATATTTTAGTCGTGTTTTAATACTTGCTGCAAAACGTATTTGGACCTCCACTCTAAAATCAAAGTCAAATGATGCTCCGAAACACTGAAGCGTCTTGATATTCTCCAAGGACACATTTTACTCTTCAGGGTGTCTGTTACGAAAGCGTCACTAATGACTGTGGTGTAGCAAAGTCACCGCGTGGCCTTATGGGAACGGCTTTATAGCTGCAGAGTTTATATTTACCTCGCTCTACCTGGGGTATTTCCACACTGGTGGGACTCGGCGAAGAACGTCCACGGGGATGACTTTGGGGTGGATGGTTTGCTCGATTTATGTAATGATCTTAAAGAAAGTGACTGTGGCGTGTTGACGAGATGCATGACTGACGCTGCTTACATGGAGCAAACTCCACTGAAGAATGACCTCAGTATCACAACCAGAAGTTCAATCACCTCAAGGACACGTACATCATATACAAGCCTCACATTTTTGCTTTTAAACTGTCCGGAAAGATTGTGATGGTGATTTTAATTTCGTTTCTTTTTGTTTGCAGAGAAAGGATTTTGTATACGAGGTGATCTCTGTCCGTTTGACCACGGTAATGACCCTCTGATTGTGGATGACGTCACACTTCCTACCATGATCCCGTTTCCACCACCGCCGGTCCTGCCACGGATGCCCATGCCCCCCATGACTGAACCCCCCCCTGGAATGCCCATGCCCCTCCCACCCCACGGGCAGCCGCCGCCCCCGGGCATCTACCCCATGCCAGGTAAGTGTCCTTTGATTTCAGCATGCTAGACTAGGCCTTTCAGTTGAGTTATTAACCGAAAAACCTTGTGTATATATATTTGGGGTGTAACGAAGGGTTAAGGAGGTGTAACGATATTTGAACCGAAAAACCGCGATACACTACCCACAACACGTATCGCGATACTCCCATGTCGTAATGGTCCCCCCTTGCTTAATGGACCTCATTTCTTATGTGTACTCAATGTATACAGCGTTGTAGCTTAACCACCATTAACCCCTTCACACGTACGATCACACCGGTGTGATCAGTCTTGGCTGGTCCCTGGAGCGTACCATCACACACAAACAATGATTTTGAGTTTGTAAAATACACACCGATGTCTATGGAAGCGGCAATAATAATCCTTTCAATTATAATAAGACGACATGTTTTATTCATATCAGATTCATATTGTGTAAGAAGCTTAAAGGGATACTCCACTTTTTTTGGAAATAGGCTAATTTTACCACTCCCCCCGAGTTAAACAGTTGGGTTTTACCGTTTTCGAATGTATAGAGACAATTTTTTTTATATATTTTGAAGAATATCAGTTACCAGACAGTTTCTGGTCTCATTGACTTCCATAGTATATATTTTTTCCTACTATGGAAGTCAATGAGACCACAAACTGTCTGGTTACTGATATTCTTCAAAATATAAAAAAAATCCGCTGAACGGATTTGAAAACGGTAAAACTCAACTGTTTAACTCTGGGGGAATGGTAAAATTAAACTATTTCCAAAAAAAGTGGAGTATCCCTTTAACATTTGACCCTATTCTTCTCCCTGTATTTCGTAAGAAGTGGAGGAATTGACGTTGTAAATCCAACAGATCCGATTCTCTGAATTGTAAAACAAACTAAAATGGCGCCGCCCATTGTGCGTACAGCTCAACTAATGCGATCGTTATAAAGATGTTTGAACAACAAAACCCATCCACTTGCACATATTTGATGATCGGAATATCAGTGTTTCGTGCTATAGCTAATACATTTGTGAATATTTTTAATAAAAAAGGAAAAATTACATAAAAGCAGATCATCATTCATTCAGTGCTGTGTTGCGGTTGTGCTGTGTGCCATGGAAACATTAAAGTGGCAAGTTCTAAATAATGGTCGCCCTTGAAAAACTTACGCTTTTAAACTTGCGTGTGAAAGGGTTAACATCCTATAATAGAAAGCTCCATGTTTTGTTACTTTCGATAATAAGCAAGATGTAGTAGTGCTGTAGGGACGTGTCGACTCTTCGACGTAAAAAATTCTGTCGACGTCATATTTTGCACGTCATTTTGCACGTTCCCGCAGGCAGATTCGGCTTGAAGTCGTTCATCCTCGGACGCAGCACCGTGCGCGCTGTTACAAAAAAGGTGTGCGCACAGCCAAGCGAAATGGGGTCTTTCTGGTCAACGCATCATTTTGCCGTGCGCACCTCCGCGTTAATGCGGACACTAGGGCTGTTGGAACGAATTCTGAAATTCTAATATAATTCGAACATTAAAAAAATCAATACTATTCGAATGCTAAAGTTACTATTCGAATATTGCTTTTATATATATTTAAAAATAAATATATACTTCCGAAGTGACCAGGTGTAAACCCTTTATCGCTTTCTTATTAACAATAAGACAACGCGGGACTAGCTTTCACGTGGCACATTGAAGTGGCCAGGTGTAAACAGCCCATAAATGTTTATTGTAGTAATGTTAGATGTCCCTCTAGTGGGCTGAACATGTAACTACAACCACTGGCTATTGACAATCCACAAGAATGTGTAATGTCATAAATATTAATAATAGGATAAATTTGAGCATTTAATATTCGAATATTACATATAATAAGGAATGGAATTCGAATAGTATTATAGAGGAAGATTGACAGCCCTAGCGGACGCATCGAGTGCCGTGTCGGCGCTCTCTCTGATTGGTAAAGGTGCACAGACCTCTCCCGAATCATCTCCAGCAGTAGCAGCCTCCAATCGCACCACTAACTCCGCCTGATGTAGTCTTTGAAATAGTAAATTTGATCACGAAATTCAAACAATAAATGCCGTTGTGGTGTGATAAATCACTGTACTAACGTTAGGCACCTAATTTAAAGTGGCAGCTCGAGTAAACGCGATCATCTCTTCCTCCGTTACAGAATAAACATGAATAGATACCCGAAGGTATGTTGAAAGATACAGTATACTTACTGAAATGTATCATAACTTTATCGACAACAGCGGAAAAACGTCAATAAAACACTTGGTTTTTCACATAGCTTTATATTTACCTCAGGTTAGTCATTCAGTGTCCACAGCTTGTTGGTTCGCTAACTCTTTTCCTGAATAAATGCACTATATTAGCCTATATATAATATTTTACTGAACCTGTTAATGATATCTTGATCATGTAATGTATGTTTAAAATATCTGTCATGAAAATAACAACTGTGTAAACTATTATATTTCAATAACAAATTCGAGTACAAACATATGTTAATGCAAAAACTGCCTTATGTGCCGTTTACATGTTTTCATACAATTTGTTATTTGAGTTTTGATTATTATTATAATATCTAAAAGTAAATATCAACTGAATTTAGGCTAAAAGTCTAGCCTCTGTTGTTAAGCTTTAATGTTTTAGTAATGTTCAAGTAAGGTCTCCTAGGATTTATAGTTTACAGCATTAGCAGATCTTTTTTATCCTTGCGAAATGTTTACTTGTAATATAATTAATTTAAAGACAAGGACACAATTTGTTCATTAAAGCACTGTTTAATTAAAAAAAAAGCAATTTTAGCTTTCTAAACCCCCGAACCCCACCAAAATGAACCAAACCGAGACGCCAAAACCGTGGGACGTACCGAACCGTCAGGTTTATGTATCGTTACACCCCTAATATAATATATAGCTATACACGTCTAAATCTGTTCTGGGGAAATTAAATGTGACAATGTATCGGAAAATTAAGCATTTTATCAAACTTTTGATTATTGCCTTGATCTGTTGAACAACTGAGAAGATAGTTATCAAACTACATCACATGTCAAGTTTACTGAATATGTTACATTAGCATATGAGAGTCAGATTGGACGACTACATGGACGCATCTCAAGATCACTCTTTTAACAGTTTAACACAATTCTGAAAAAAAAATCAATCATTATAAAGTATTGAAAATATTAAAATCAGGAACGTCAGAATCAGAACGTGTAGTTCGATCATAAAAATGTCTGTCAAAACCAACACACGTTGAGCGATGTTCACTAGCTTGATGTAGTTTGTCAATTGGATTGCGTTTATTCTCTTTAGCTGAGATATGAGCCGTGTTTGATTTTTGGGTAATTATAAAACGCTGTTGAGTTGACTAATGCTTTTTGCGTTGGCTAGTTCATTGCACGCACTTCCGTTTGGGAATAGTACGTTTCACGTATTTCCGGTTAAGTTTACTTTCAATGTACTGTGGTCAATGAGTTGAGCAAACTCACTAAAATGAGTTGCAATAAGATTTACAAATTTGTCAAGGTATATTCTGTTGTTTACTGTGTAGACATGCATATCAGAACATGAAGTTTTTAATGCAACCCAAGCCGATCTGAGAAAGCAGTGTTAGACATACGCTGTTATTTCACCACAGGGTGTGTGTTCGCCTACACTAGTGACCGCGGATTTTTGGATTTAAATCATTTTAATATTTTTTTAATCATTTTTCAATGTCAGTCTTTTTTTCTTTTTTTTTGAATACTTTATTTTCAGCTTTTCAGTTTACAAAAAAAAAACAAGTAGACTTAAAAAAAAAAGTAAAAAAAAAAAAAAAATCGTCTTTTCACTATTTACATGTTTATTCCCAAAATGCTATAATATTCAAAGTTGTCGACTGTCATTCTCCTCTTTGCTGTGTACGATAATGCAGTGATGATCTGCATTCTCATGTATGGAGGTGCACTGAACACGTGGCTTAAATAAATGACATGATACTTGCGTGATGTTTGGCCTGTCAAAAATATTCAGCGGTTGCAAATTCATTACTAAGTTTCACAGTTGAAAATCAGACAAATTTTTTACCTGGAAAGGAGTGGTTTTGATGCACAGTTGTTTTTATTGTCTTTTATAACAAAAATCATTTATTTGAATGCATAAAAATGCAGATCCTGTTGTAAATGATGAAAAAGTCGTCGTATTATTACCCCTTAACAGATTTTGACGCGCGTGTTTATATATGTATATACAAATTACTCTAAATTATGCTTATGTGTTTTATTTATCATTATAAATTTAATTGTAGTTGTGTAATTTATATTATATTGTAGAGCTGCACGATTAATCATTAAAAGGTCGCAATCTGGATTCATACACCTACTCAATCTTATTCCTCCTAAATGACAACGATTGGCCTTAATCTAGTAAACGTTTGAGAAGTCTGTTCATCACAGCGTAACATTGGAAGTGTGTTTGTGCTGCCGCTGAGCCAGAGAGAGCAGGTACCATGTTTTATAGGTATGAGTGAGTCATTGAATCATTCATTCGAACCCATTCTTTTAAATAATTCATTGAAATGGTTTAAACTTTTTAAATAGACTGCAGCGATTAACATTTTGTCATAAACTCTAGTAAATGACTTTATTTTGTTTAGTTGTCTGTTCAGAAGCGAGGTAGGCTCATGCAGCGCTATTTTAAGCAAAAAAAGATGATCAATTTATCCATAATCTTGTAGCTCTTATTATTAGAGGGGTTTTAAAGTCTTTAGAAGGGGATTTTAATTTTTTATTTATTAGTCAATTTAATTGTAATTTTTATTTATTAGTTTAATCAAGTCATTCGTTAATTATGGATGTTACATTATTTTCTCCTGTTAACTTAGTTTTATTAAAAATATTAATTTCGATTAAATGTCTTAATGTTTTTTTGTTTTGTTTTTTTACCTTTTTCCTGGGTTATTAATTATGAATGTTAAATTATTTTCTCCTGTTAACTTAGTTTTATTAAAATCTAAAATATTAAAATATTAATTTTGATTAAATGTCTTAATGTTTAGGAATTAATTTTTTTTTTTTTTACCTTTTTTCCTGGGTTATTGATTAATAAATTCATTTATTTTAATGTTTATAAATTGACATTAAATTCTCACAACACTGCATTACAGTATTTTCCATAAAAATTTGTCGCATCTTAAAATAGATTAAACCGGGTCTAAATTTCATAGTTGAGAAATGAATATATATTTCATTATATTATTAGATGCATTATACATTTGTGGTCAGAATTAATGGCACCCCTGGTAAATATGATCAAAACTGGCTGTAAAAAATTGTTGTTTATCCTTTTTGATCTTTCATTCAAAAAAATTGCTAAAGTCTAACATTTTCATTGAAGTAAAATAATTGAATGTGGGGGGGAATCATATTATGAAATAAATGTTTTTCTCTAAAACACATTGGCTACCTGATGGTGTTGAGAAATAATGTAAAATATTAGTATGACACATTTACAAATATTGCAAACAGTCTAAACATGCATGTTAGTTCCCCTCACTACACAACAAATCCTTTAGATTAAACTATTCAGAACTGGAATGGAAAATAAGTATAAATATAAAATAAACAACATTCCTTAAAAAAAGCCAAGCCTAAACAAATGTATTTAAAGTGATTCTGAAACTGCCAGCATGTGGGAAATGGCCTATACTAATAAACTTGGGCTCATGTACCGCTTTCATTTGCCACTAATCTAAAATGTGTGCACTTTGCACGTTTTCCGAGCTTGACGTTAATTGCATTATACAAGACGTAGAATGTTTTAGATAATACACAAATTGACTTGTGTTCCAGAAAATACGGTAAATGCTTTTAAAGGGATCGTTCACTTTGAAATTAATTTTTGCTATGTTTTAGCTTACCTCAAGGTCATCCAAGATGTAGGTGTCTTTGTTTCCACAATAGTTTCAATTTTGATATTTTTAGGTCAAACCGTTGATCAGTCATATAATGGAGGTCTATGGTCACCACCTCAAAGAGCATGCACAAAGAAGTCCAAATTAAACATGATTTAATGACTCGTAAATGTAAGTACACATTGATGGCCTAAGACACGAAACGAGCGGTTTGTGTGAGAAGAGGAACAGAACTTATATCGTTTTTACCGTTTATTTGGAACCACGGCCACGTCCAAGTGATCTGAGGGTGCGGGATTTCAGAAGTGTTACCCTTCACTTTGAAGATCTAAACGTATTCAGATATGCATGAAATCACAATGGAAGACGATTTCGATATATTAACCCCCTGAGCCCGACGGCATCGTCGACGACGCCACACGTCACCTCCGATAAATGTTTACATAACTCGATGACAGATTTATCGATTTTCTTACCGTTTTTTCCAGAAGAAAGCTAACGAGCTAGCCATCACGGGGATGTCTTTCGGGTCTTTCTAGCCTTTACAGAAGGTTTTCTATCCAGCCTGGAACTTGTGCTTCCTTTCAGAGGTTTTCAGCAATAAATCCAAACGCTTTATGTCAAACTTTGATAATCTTGAAGTCCATAATTCATAAATATTTGGTCATTTTTACCGCTAGCTTGACGCTAGCGGCCATTCTGGATATCACGTGATGTTTTCACGTGATGGTTTTTGACCAATTACAGGCTGATCCGTTGTAAACATTGGTGTGCGTCATTACGCATGAACCAAGCGCTGATATAGTGTAGAGAGATAGAGAGACTCACGGAGACGCGCAATTCACAGAGAAACACAGCGAAATGGACGTAAATAAAGCGCTGGTCTATTTTGGTGCATTGCAGGATGAAGGATTTTCAGGAGAACAGAGCTTTTTGACAGATGAGGAACTAGATTACCAGGATAGACCCAGCTGAAGTGCCATTTATTTATTTACTGTAAAAAAGTATTATAGTAGTATAAATGTATTATAAAAGAATAAAAAGAACATAATAAATAAAAGAATAAATAAAATAGAAATGCAAAACCTGTGTTGTGGCCCTCTGTGTGATTGCTGATAGGAACTGTTTTGAGGCTTGGCACCAGTGAATTTCATGAGGCCCCAAACGCCTGGACTTCTTTTGGAAAAATGTCAATAGTTTTTGTTCTGTACAAGTTATAATGTTTATTCCTGTGCTCCAGGACTCCAAAGACATGAACAAACTATTTTCCAGAGGAAAATTGCTTAGCTTTTATTTATTTGTGTGTGATTTCAATAAATATTTGAGTGATTCCATTTCCGATTTATTTTTTCATTTGTCTTTATGGTCCCATAACTTATTTTACATTCAGGTGACATCAATGTAACACAAATATGCTGAAAGTTCAATTTGTCCTGAAAAAAAAGAGGTGTGTCAATTGTCTGTGCACCAAAGGGTTGATATTTTACAAGCTTTTTTAGTAAATGACAGCAGACGGAAAATTTATTGTAAAAATACCCTTAGGTCTCAGAGGGTTAACAGACAACGCTGAATTTTTTTCACAACCGCGCGAGAGAGCACTCCAGCCGCTTGCGCAGATCGAAGCACCCGCGCCCTCAGATCACTTGGACGTGGCTGTGGTTACAAAAGGTAAAAGCGATATAAATACTGTTCGTTTTCTCACACAAACCGCTCATTTCGTGTCTTAGGCCATCAGTGTGTACTTACATTTACGAGTCATTAAGTCATGTTTAATTTGGACTTCTCTGTGCATGCTCTTTGAGGTGGTGACCATAGACCTCCATTATATGACTGACAACGGTTTGACCTTTCAAAGTGAACTGTCCCTTTAACTGTTAATTTTTAGGAATATTATTCGTTAACTCTTGGACGATAAATCTTGAGAATGACTTTATATTAAAGGGTTAGTTCACACAAAAATGAAAATTAAGTCATTAATTACTCACCCCCATGCTGTACCAACCCCGTAAGACCTTCGTTCGTCTTCGGAACACAAATGAAGATATTTTTGATTAAATTTGAGAGCTGTATGTCGACGCATGCGCGAGAATTGCGATCTGCTTACACCAGCTTACACTACTTCAGATCGCAATTCTCGCGCATGCGTCGTGGAAATCTAAGGAAATCTCGTTTCTGGCCTACAAGGAAGAAAAGAAATAGTCGAATAAACTCGTTATTTTTGTTTGTTTTTTCGCACAAAAAGTATTCGCGTCACTTGATAAACATATAGTTGAGCCACGGTAGTCACTTGGGATATTTAAACATTTTCTTCATTGACTTTCTGGGCCGTCAAGAGGCAGTCTCTTAGGAGCCAATGTGGTAGTTTTACAGCTCTCAAATTTAATCAAAAATATCTTCATTTGTGTTCCGAAGACGAACGAAGGTCTTACGGGGTTGGTACAGCATGGGGGTGAGTAATTAATGACTTAATTTTCATTTTTGGGTGAACTAACCCTTTAACAACAACTCTGAACGCTTGTCCTAAAATGCAATAATGGAAGTTAGCTGTACATGTTAGTGTGCTTGAGTTTGCTCTTGTCTTGTTTTAGGGCCTCCTCTAATCCCAGCTACTGGGATAGACACTCCACCCCACTCCAGAACCAGAACCTCTTCCCCTTTGGCCCTGCCTGGAGTGGGACCACCTCCTCCTCCACCTCCACCACCACCACCACCACCACCTCCTTCCTCTTCTTCCTCCTCTTCTGCCTCTCTCCATCCTCAATACACTCTCTCTGAATGTAAGCCACTGCGCTTCTCTCTCCTCAGCTTGAGCGGTGGTGCTTCGACCTTACTGTCCGTGTGTGTGTGTGTTGTAAAGGGGTCATGACAGATTTCTGATATTCCAGCTACTTGTGTTTTTCCTGTCCATAAGAAATGCTTTTAAATTGATATTCATTATAAGTAGCCTTCAGGGATGAAAGTCTGACCCCTTTAAAGAAATCAGTTGATTTACTAAGCCTCTTTCCTGTCTGTTGGTGGTGGTTTGATTTTAATTTGTTGCAAGCACAATTGAAACAAAAGAGTGAACTGCTGACGATCCAGCTTGTCTTAAACATAATACTTTTGTTTTATATTAAAGTCCCCCTGTAGTCAATAATTGTATCCAATAGAGCCAGACCGATATATCGGCCGGCCGATATTATCTGCCGATATTAGACATTTTTCACAATATCGGTATCGGCAGTTATAAATGGCCGATAAATGCATATTTAAAAAATAAAATAAAAACGGACGAAACACGCTTTAATCATCTCTTCTTGGCCTGTTATATTGAAAATGTATGTTTTACAATTTGCAGTATGATGTTATCTATTGCTAAATTATGGCTCATCATAGACTAGCTAAACCACAAAGCTAGCTAATGCCACTATCATCAGTGGAAGACCGCTAACGTTAACATTAATGAGCTTGGAAACCACAATGAACTTTTTCTGCCTAAATAAAGTAAATATTACTGTATTTATAACTAGCATATCTCTAGTTACAGTCCCTGCATTGAAAAAAATGTAAGTTATACTTGCGAGGAGTGAACATTTAGACAAAAAGTATCAAACGTATCTTGTGCAGAAAAGTTAGCTTTTCTTTTACACGTGTGAATCCAACAATATTTAATAAAAAAAAAAGAAAAAAAAATATCGGCCGAAATATCAGAATATCGGATTTTAAAACCCAAAAATATTTGTATCGGTATCGGCCTTCAAAATCCTTTATCGGTCGGGCTCTAGTATCCAATGTATTTATCTTTGATCACCAAAATGACATTTAAAAAAAAAATCCTTAAAATTATTCATGCCTTAATATACCTTGAATGTAACTCGACACCCATGCCTTATTTAGTATACGCAGTTCTATGAATATGCAAATGTGCCCCACCTCCACTCACTCACTCAGCTCAGAGATCCACTGGTTGACGATCACACGTTGATCTGATTGGTTACAAGGTCGTTTGTGACATCAGAAACGCCAGCGATTTCAAACCGTGTCTTTGGTTCACTGCAGTTTTAAGGAGAAAATACTGTCGTCTTATGAATTTACACATGGTTTGTCTTAAAGCATATTAGAAACACCACATGGACATATAAACAACATTAAAGTCTTGATTTTCACCACAGGTAAACCTACCCTGCTGTCAGATGCGTGTGTAATCCGCTTGAGACGTGTCAGTGTATACTTATCTGTAAAGTAACAAATTTCCATCTCGCATGAACGATTATCTTGACAGCGAGCGAGTCTGTTTAACCCTCTGGGGTTCTTCGTTTAACAGTCACACTCGGGGCCTTCGGGTCAAAATTGACCCAAAGGGCGGGATTCATATTTAAAAAAGAAAATTTTTTTTTTTTTTTTTTTACTTGTTTTTTATAATATTTTTTTCTTTTCTTTTTTGGTGTGTTGAGAAAATTTCAAAAATAAAAAAAAATTATAATTAGTCTTAATGCAATAATTATGACCAAATTTTCCCCCATTGAATATAATAGAAAAATTGTTTTAAAAATATATATATATTTTTTTGGAGTCAAGCCTAGGCTTCATAAAAGCAATTTTTGAAATTGGATGGATGCCATCTTGTGGACAAACTGAGCTTTTTAAAAATGCAAAACACATGTATAATCTGAATTTTTTAGTGTGTTTGTGTGTGTGGATGTGTCTGTTTTGCACTCTTGATGTTTTATAGATTCACCCCTTCACTGTTGTGTGTTTTTTTTTTTTTTACGACCACTTAGGCTTTTCAAATCCTGTCCCCAATTTTTTTGGGTGTTCATATACCAAGTTCCATTAAAGTCACCAAGTTTCGGACCATTCCGACGAAACTGCGATTTTTAACATTTTTTTTTATTTAAACGCTTCAGGTCATTATTGACCCGAAGAACCCCAGAGGGTTAACTTCACAAACTCTTCCTCCGAATATACAACAGCACCATAAACTGCAGTGTGTTTTTCATTTATAACCATACATAGTTTGTTTAGTTATCCACTAAAAAAACAGTTTTTGTCCTGTTGTACCGAAAACATACAAAACCGCGAGTCAGGTTATTCATTCGGACTCGGTGTACATTTTTGTTGCATTTAAAACCTTGAAAAAGAATGAGTACGTTTAAAAGAAAATACTGTTTCAGGTTCGTGTTTAATGTGCTTCTTTTGCTGTTTCTTTGTAGTAATTTTTTATATGTACTAGCAATTTCTGAGTGAAAGTCGTTTCAAAGCCAGTTTTCAGTGTGTAGTGTATCAGGGATGTGTGTGTGAAGGCTGCAGTGACAGACTCTGACCATGTAGTTGTGCTGCTGCTGCATCTTACACACTTCATTTTCTGAATAACACAGAGAATTTGGAGAAAGTTCTCTCAAACACATGTGGTAAATGTTTAATTTATCGAAGGAAAGAACCTCCTGTAGTGTTTTCCCCCCCTGCACACACAAATGTTTTAACACGTCTTTCTTGTGTCACATACAGACAGCTACGACCCCGAGGCCTATAACCCAGAGTCCCCGGCACTGACCGGCCCAGGCAGAGCTCAGTACCGTCATTTCATCCCTCGCATCCAGACGCAGAGACCCAACCTCATCGGCCTTACCTCTGGTGATGGACAAAACTCACGAGGTATCAGATGTAAAATATCAGTTCCAAACCAGTGACTATTTTGCATGAGAATTTCAAACGTATTCATCATGACAACATCAATTTAAATGTGTTTAATATGCTTTTTTAGCAGCTAACATAGTGATTCAGACGGAGCCGTCTGTCCCGAGTGTGTCGAGCAGTGAGGCGAGGTTCAACTCTGAGCAGGAGAACAGGAAGAGGTGTCTGCCGTCGGGTGACGGGCCACTGATCAAAAAACCCTGGATGGAAAAGTGAGTGATGAGCCACTACTCACTAGCCATGTTTCCATCGACACGTTTTTATCCGAATTAAGTGATATCGAATGAAAAATGCCTTATGGAAACAGTAAAATTCGATGAAATTTCATGAAAATCGACTCAATTGAAATACGTTCGGTCTCATCGGATTTTCTCTTGATCGATATACGGCTAATGCGATAAAAGCTGATGGAAACGTTATTTGCTGAATAAATAATGAATTGCGATTAAGTTTTATGCCCTTTTATGGTTGCAACACGTCAGAAGACGAGTTCATTTCCAGCCAGTCTGTTTGCGCACACATGGCGGATGTCAACAAAGACAGATGTAAGTGGACAAAGCAAAAAGATGCTTCAACCAAAGGGTTTCCGTGAACCACGATCTCCCAGAACTGATGGAGCGCTGTCGTTCCCACACCACAGTCACCTCCGCTGTCGTCGGGCATACGTGCATCGTCATCATCATAGCAATGTTTATAGCGTCGCTGTTTTCTTAGGTTAGTTAGGGGCCAAGCACCGAAGGTGCGGAGGCACCTATTGTATCTGTGCCGGTTCTTATTATTAGGGGCCAAGCACCGAAGGTGCGGAGGCACCTATTGTATCTGTGCCGGTTCTTATTATTATTATTATTATTATTATTCTTCTTCCGACTGGGCGTCTATGGCAGCCCATAGACCGGTTTGCGGGAAAGTTGATTTGGTTTGACATTCTGATAGAGGACAGTCCCAACTTTAAATACTCCAATTTTGGTGTCTCTAACTCATTCCCTCTAGCGCCACCAACTGTCCAAAGTTTCACTTTTATTATGCTAATAACTTTTGAACCGTAAGGCCTATCAACAAAATTCTTTTTTCCTCTTGTTCCTGAGCTCATGCCGATTCGATCGCACCCTATGACGTCATTTTCCGTCATAAAAAAACGGCCGCCATTTTGAATTTTCCAAAAAAACTACTTTTGCGAACTCGTCCTAGACGGTTTGTCCGATTTTCACCAAAATCGCACCGGATCATCTCCAGGCAGTGCTGACAAAAAGTTATGGAATTCAAGATGATTCGAATAACCGTTTTCGATAAACGCGCAAACTAATTTTACGTAGCGCTTGCAAAAACAGACGTGAGGCTGTATCTCCGCAACGCTTACTCGTTTTCAGACCAAACTTGGTACGTGTTATCACAAGCATGACCTGAGGCTACTTGCTGCGTTTCGGCGCAGCGCCACCTAGTGGTCCGGAGATATGAAAAATGGCTATTTTTGCTCGTAACTTCTGAACGGTTTGTCCAAAAATCAAAAACTTGGTCTCGTTAGATTCAGGGCGTCATGCCGAGTCGACCGATATCCAATTTTCCCAGATCGGCCATTTTGGCTGTCGGCCATTTTGAATTATGTGCTAAAATGCTGTATTTTTTGAACGCATGAACGAATTGTTACGAAACTCGGTATGGGTCATCAGTACGATGCCCTGAAGGAGCCTGAGAAGTTTCGAAACAGCGCCACCTAGTGGTGAATTTTTTTTTCAAACGCTTATAGCTTTGGGTGTGGTACACTTATTTTCACGGGAGTCATGTTTTTGAGTTCCTGAATCGTTGCCGAGTCCAACGATACTAAACATGCTGGGTTTCGTCTTACGGTTGGTGTAGCGTAGCGATTTAGAGCGAAAAAAACACTTGGCGATATCTTCAAAACCGCTGTTCCGATCGAGACGAAACCATCGTCAGAAACACGGAATCATAGCTCGTTAACTATATGCAAATGCCCAAATGCGAAAATATTGATAGTAAGGGGTAGTAAAATTCAAAAAAAGTCATGTGTCAGTCATTTTTTACGTGTTTTTTCATATAAATGTTTATAACTCGGAAGCGAATTGAGATATTTTCACCAAAATTGACACACATATGTATGGGCTCACTCTGAAGACACAGGAAAAAAATTGTGGGACTGAGGCTCTTGGTGGCGCTATAAAAGAAGAAAACGTGAAATTCCCATTGACTTCAATAGAGTTTTGTGAAATACAATGCTATACTAAACAAATGCATTGGTGTAATATTACAAAACTCAGTGTGTGCCATAAGCAGCATGCCCTGAAGGTACTCAAAAGATTTTGAGACAGCGCCACCTGTTGGTCAAAAGTTATAATTAATTTCTGAAAACGCTAATAACGTTTGAATAAATGTGCCTATTGCAATGAAACTGATCTTAATAGATTCCTTGGGTTATGCCGAAAACATAGATATCAGGTTTTCCATAATCAGACAAACTTCCTTTCCGCCATCTTTATTTCTTTGAAAAAAGTTCTTTTTCGAACTCCTCCTAGACCGTTTGTCCAATTTTCACGAAACTTTAATCGTATCATCTCCAGACCGTGCCGACTAAAATTTATGAATTGCACGATGATAGACAAAACCGTTTTGGTATACCACAGCATCAAAGTTTAGGCATGCTGCCAAAATTACTATTTAGGCTTTATCTCTGCAATGCCTTCACATTTTGACACCAAACTTTGCATGTGTCATTGTCACGTCACTCTGACCACATCACATCTATTTCGGAACTGCGCCACCTATTGTTCGAAAGTGATAACCCATTAAATCATCTTATAAGGTAATGTTTATGTGATTTTTTTTTAGCCATTTGCCAAAAGTTCTCTCAAAATGCCCGTAATTGCTCCTTGCTGCAGTTGGTCTGCCACTCCTAGCCATTTTGGCATATGTTGCCGCTTCTTGCGCTTGGCCCCGGTAATGGCTGCTTGTTATTATTATTAGGGGCCAAGCACCGAAGGTGCGGAGGCACCTATTGTATCTATGCCGGTTCTTATTATTATTATTATTATTATTATTCTTCTTCCGACTGGGCGTCTATGGCAGCCCATAGACCGGTTTGCGGGAAAGTTGTTTTGGTTTGACATTCTGATAGAGGACAGTCCCAACTTTAAATACACCAATTTTGGTGTCTCTAACTCATTCCCTCTAGCGCCACCAACTGTCCAAAGTTGCACTTTTATTATGCTAATAACTTTTGAACCGTAAGGCCTATCAACAAAATTATTTTTTCCTCTTGTTCCTGAGCTCATGCCGATTCGATCGCACCCTATGACGTCATTTTCCGTCATAAAAAAACGGCCGCCATTTTGAATTTTCCAAAAAACCTACTTTTGCGAACTCGTCCTAGACGGTTTGTCCGATTTTCACCAAAATCGCACCGGATCATCTCCAGGCAGTGCTGACAAAAAGTTATGGAATTCAAGATGATTCGAATAACCGTTTTCGATAAACGCATAAACAAAATTTACGTAGCGCTTGCGAAAACAGACGTGAGGTTGTATCTCCGCAACGCTTACTCGTTTTCACACCAAACTTGGTACGTGTTATCACAAGCATGACCTGAGGCTACGTGCTGCGTTTCGGCGCAGCGCCACCTAGTGGTCCGGAGATATGAAAAATGGCTATTTTTGCTCGTAACTTCTGAACGGTTTCTCCAAAAATCAAAAACTTGGTCTCGTTAGATTCAGGCGTCATGCCGAGTCGACCGATATCCAATTTTCCCAGATCGGCCATTTTGGCTGTCGGCCATTTTGAATTATGTGCTAAAATGCTGTATTTTTGAACGCATGAACGAATTGTTACGAAACTCGTTATGGGTCATCAGTACGATGCCCTGAAGGAGCCTGAGAAGTTTCGAAACAGCGCCACCTAGTGGTGAATTGTTTTATTCAAACGCTTATAACTTTGGGTGTGGTACACTTATTTTCACGGGAGTCATATTTTTGAGGTCCTGAATCGTTGCCGAGTCCAACGATACCAAATATGTCGGTTTCGTCTCACAGATGGCGTAGCGTAGCGATTTTAGCGCGAAAAAACACTTGGCGATATCTTCAAAACCGCTGTTCCGATCGAGACGAAACCACCGCCAGAAACCCGGAATCATAGCTTGTTAACTATACGCTAATGCCCAAATGCGTAAATATTGATAGTAAGGGGTAGTAAAATTCAAAAAAAAGTCATGTGTCAGTCATTTTTTACGTGTTTTTTCATATAAATGTTTATAACTCGGAAGTAAATTGAGATATTTGCACCAAAATTGACACACATATGTATGGCGTCACTCTGAGGACACATAAAAAATATTGTGGGACTGAGCCTCTTGGTGGCGCTATAATAGAACAAAACGTGAAATTCCCATTGACTTCAATAGAGTTTTGTGAAATAAAATGCTATACTAAACAAATGCATTGGTGTAATATTACAAAACTCAGTTTGTGCCATAAGCAGCATGCCCTGAAGGTACTCAAAAGATTTTAAGACAGCACCACCTGTTGGTCAAAAGTCATAATTAATTTCTGAAAACGCTAATAACGTTTGAATAAATGTTGCCTATTGCAATGAAACTGATCTTAATAGATTCCTTGGGTTATGCGAAAACATAGATATCAGGTTTTGCATAATCAGCCAAACTTCCTGTCCGCCATCTTTATTTCTTTGAAAAACCTTCTCTTTTCGAACTCCTCCTAGACCGTTTGTTCGATTTTCACGAAAATTGAATCGTATCATCTCCAGACGGTGCCGAATAAAAGTATGATTGCGTGACGATAGACAAAAACCGTTTTCGTATACCACAGCATCAAATTTGAGGCATGCTGCCAAAATGACTATTTAGGCTTTATCTCTGCAATGCCTTCACATTTTGACACCAAACTTTGCATGTGTCATTGTCACCTCACTCTGACCACATCACATCTATTTCGTAACTGCGCCACCTATTGTTCGAAAGTGATAACCCATTAAATCATCTTATAAGTTAATGTTTATGTGATTTTCTTAGCCATTTGCCCAAAGTTCTCTCAAAATGCCCTTAATTGCTCCTTGCTGCAGTTGGTCTGCCACTCCTTGCCATTTTGGCATATGTTGCCGCTTCTTGCGCTTGGCCCCGGTAATGGCTGCTTGCAGCTATATTTATTTATTATTATTATTCTTCTTCCGACTGGGCGTCTATGACAGCCCA